CAGAGCAAGCTGATGAAAATCCTTTGGAAATAGTCACAGGTATAGGCTCATTTTCAGATCTTTTTGCTGACCTATAGAAGCAATTCATTCATTTCTGGGACCCCATATTCCCCCCAAAGCCCTCTCAGGTGTCTACATGCAACACAGCTCTCATATTCAGGCAAGAACCCATAAATCTGTGAGAGACAGAATCATTAGAAACTTTAAAATTTGAGTTTTCAGAATGGGGAAAAGCATGTAGTAGGTGGATGGAAACAGTATCATAGCCAAGAAGATGTTTTAATGCAGAGACCTGGGTTTAAGCCTTAGTTCTGACATTTATCAACTATGTGCAGCAGAGGTAAAGACTGTGGATAGAGGTGGGAAGAAAGACATGTTGTTGAGTCTGTAGGAGAAGAGGATGGTGAATGGAAAATATCTTGTCTATTGGAGGGAGATGATTCAGGGAAAAACCAAGTTCTGCCACAGTACATCTTAAGGACAGGCAGAGACGTAGGGATGTTAAAGAACAAAGAAACTTCAGATTTACAAGCACAGAGAGCAAGAAAAGAAAAGCTTCTGGATGGAAGGAAAGAATATTCAACAATAGAATAAGGCAGGGAATGTACTGTGTCTAGATGGGTTGGGTAAAGTCTTAGATTATGGGGTCCCAAGGCTCAGAAATCACCTTTTTGGAAGCCACGGGAGTTTGCCACAAGCAATTGAAGTGAACCGTGATTAAACCTGTTGGCTATGCTTCATGCCATTCTACACTATGAGTATTCTTATATGGCATAGGGGAATTTCCAGGGACATGGTAAAAGTGAACCTGGTGATGAGTCTAAGATGTTAGCAGAGAAGCAGAACATGGATTCACTCCTGGGTTCATGGCAAAGCTGAGTTCACCTGTGGGTTTTGGCCATTCCCATGATCTCTCCCAGCATCTCCCAACACCCCTAAATGAAAATATGTGTAGGCATGAACACATTTTTCTTTTCACACTGCAGCTTCAGCAGAGGTCTCAAAGCACCAACATTTCATTCCCACATCCATTTAGAACCAGAAAAACCTCACAAAGATTCTCCTCTATAGGACGTTTGGGGCTGTGTGTCACACACTGTTGGGGCTGATGTCAGTCCATCTCCGCCCCTCCTTTCTGGGTCACTACAGAAGAAAAATGAAGAAATGGCTTGGGGCAGGAAATAGAGACGTTAATATCTATTAGAATCCATTGCCCATATCTCAAACTCTTATTATGAACTCACTCCCTGGAGAGAAAAGCCTTTTTCTCTTGGATGGTCCCAGCAGCTCCCAGCGATCCCCACTCCCCAACCTTATGTAGCCCAGCAATGAGCTAGTAGTACGAAATCTATGGATACTGGTGCTGTTGGGAAGATTCTTCCTCTAGGGAAGTGATGGTGACTGGAGCTTTGGGATGCCCATGGAATCCCAGTTACCCCACAAAGAAGTTTTTTTTTTTTATTACATAACAGTTGGATGACCCCTTTTTCCTTCCCAATTACCAAATAAATCTGTAAAGGTCACAGGTAAAGTTCTCTTTAAGAGCTACCCCATGGTAAGTCTGGCGAGAACGTGGGGTACCTCAGGCATTCTTCCAGAGATACTTTTCTTGTAAACCTCTTCAATAAGTAAGCATGCTTTGCTCTGCACTGGGTGTTAACTGTGTAGGATGCTGTTGCCCCTACCTTGCCCTATATTCTGCCCACATAGTTTCTTAATAGGATGATGCTTAGGTCAGCCCTAAGGTTTGAACCAGTCAGTGAGTCCAGGTTGATATGGAGTCCCTTTAGTGCCTCCCTTTGCAGAAATAATGCTGCACCCAGAAACTCCCTCAGAGCCTGTCCACTGCAGGGGAGGTGGGGGGGCTTTTGACCACTCCTGTTTTACTCTTCTTGCTCCAGCATCCCATCTGGCTAGTGGCCCCTTTCGTTCTCAATGATGTCTCAATTCTCACACTAAGTTATGTGATTGCCCTATATCGAGCTCACCATTGCTCAGTGTTACCTGAGAATGGAGAAGATGCCCAGAATCGGCCCAGAAGAATCCATTTCAATTCTAGAGAAAAAGGCAGGTAGAGGCAGAAGAGATTCATGTCACAGTGCACGTGTGCTGAATGATGGCCTGGTATTGTTTGAGAGAGACAAGAAAATGGCTGTAAAGACTTGGGAAGAGGAACCTGCCCTGGGTCAACTAGGGTGTTGGGAGGACCAGATGGAGCTTGAAGCTCTCTCCAACTCTGTCAATTACCCTGGACTGAGAGGGTAAAATGAATGTGGCCTTTTATCCTCCAGAGGAGACTTTTCTATTCCTCACCTTGGTCTGGTTGCAAACTCTAGGGTACCAACAAGAAACTCCTCCCACATCCTCCCACCTGCTAATGCCTCCACTTTTTACATCCCCAGGATGATGGCCACCAAACCAACAGACACCATCTTTCTTATACGAGGTGTTTCCCCTCCCCACCTCCACTCTGATCTTGCACTGCAGCTGCTCAGCCTCTCACATCTCTGCCCACACAAACCACTGTCCTCCAACACCCCAGTCCCAGCCTGCGTCCTCTGGCCCCCACAACTCTGCTCTCCCTATTGTTCCCTCAGCTGCTTATCCTCCTGTCCTACCTTTGTGAGGAGCCACAAGGATATGCTTGCTGCCTCCATGCAGGCCTGAGGAGTGGGAAGCATGTTTTGTGAAGGCTGGTCTAGAACCTAAAGCCTGTCTCCCTTGTTTTAAGCTTTTTAATCCAATATAAAAACAAATTAGCACATATGCAACAACAAGACCCAGCAAAATACTGTACTGCAGTTTGAGAAATCTAGAGTCAGTTATGACTGATGGAAGTGAGTGGCATGTGATGGATTTCCTGGGCTCCATCCCTGCCATGGGCACATCCTTTCTTGGTCTTTGAAAGCTGCCACCAGAGAACCCTCTTCTCTAGTTCCAGGATCCCCAGTGTAGTGGGATGAAGAGTGTTCCCCCAGAATTCATGCCCACTCAACAAGTCAGAATGGGACCTTATTTGGAAATAGGGACTTTGCAGGTATAATTGGTTAAGATTTCTCAATAAAATTGTTCTGGATTTAGGGCGGGTCCTAAATCCAATGACCACGCCTTGAAAAGAGAAAGGAAAGGGGAGCTTAAATGCAGAGACACAGGGAAAAATGCCATGTGAAGACAGAGGCAGAGATTGCAGCGATGCTGGCACAAGCCAAGGAGTGCCAGAAGCCATCAGAAGTGGGAAGAAGCAAGAAGGGATTCTCCCCTAGAACTGTCATAGAGGATGGCCTGCCAACATCTTGATATTGAATCTTTGGCCTCCAGAACTGGGAGAGAATAAATTTTTATTGTTTTAAACCCACCAGTGGTACTTTGTTACAGCAGGCCTGGGAAACGAATACACCAAAGCATCAAGGTGTGTTCAGCATGTTACCTTGGTTCCTGCCTGGAGTTTGGGAGAAGCTGCTCTAGGATCATCCTGGCCACTACTTGGGAAAAGCTTCCAGAATTGCCATCTTCAGCAGAACATGCCACAGTTTCACCAGTCATAAGTTATTTGATTGTAATCTTCAGTTTCCACATCTATAATGTGGAGAAAATAACACCTGCTTCTGGGATGATTGTGCAGGTGCAGACAGCACAGGTAGTGGTGTCTAGCCCAAGGCCTGAAGCAAGCAGGCTCTCAACATAGGGCTCCCTCCTCTTTCCCACCCTTCCTCTGCTTTCAGACTTCACTTCTCGCCCCTGACGGTCTTCCTCAACTAACTTCAACGTGACGTCTCTCAGCCCCTCTCACCATTCTAGGCCTCTTTTTCTTTAATCCCATTCCTTCTCTTCCTCCATGTAGTGTTTTACCAAAATGAATTCAGTCTGTATGCAGAATTTACCTTGGCGGGATAACCGTCTTTGCCCAAGTAGGAGCACTTAACACCCTGTGTTTGGAGTGGTTTGGTTTCCATCCGTCAAGCAAAGAAGCCCATTGGAAGGGCTACTCTGCACATAGCCCTTTAGCTCCCACTGGGTCCTGCATCCCATTGCTCCTAATTTGGTGTGCCTTGCTCCCAGGAAATCATTCATCCCCAGGCTTTACATATTAGTTGTCTCAACTCTGCCTTCTCTAGTATTTAAACCTAGACATGCAGAGTAGCACTCGATTTTAAGCCCAAATCCCGAAACAAGGTAAGTTGGAGGTGTTAAGACTGTGCATGGGCTTAAGTGATCCTCCCACCTCAGCCTCTTGAGTAGTTGGAATTACGGGCATGAGCCACTGTGCTCAGCTTCCAGCCCTTCTCTTAAATAGTGGGCAGGTATAGTCTCCGCAACACGAACCATGGCAGGAATACACACTTTCCCATAGCAAATAGCATTCCTGGCTCTCTGTGCTAATATTGCACATTTGTTAAACAATGAATGAATGGATGGATGGATGGATGGATGGATGGATGGATGAATGAAACATATACTACTGATTATTTTATTCCAGCCTTCTCAAAATATTTGTTGCTCATATTTTGAAGGCTGATTGTAATGACTTTGAAATGTACTTTGATTAGATAAACAACTGGAAATTATGCTGCTGAAAAATTTCTAATAAATGTGTATTTTATCAAAAAAAAAGACTGTGCATGAATGAAACTAAAGATGTAACATGTGACACTTGAATCTGGAATTGGGAAATGACTGGACATTGTAACTTATAGGTCTGCACCCATCCTCTGTCCTACACTGGGCAAGGGGTTATGGTTTGCTGTGTTCCTTCCTCTCTGTCCTCAACTTACTGGTTTTCCAGAGCCCAGCCATTGCCCTTCAGACTAACCCTCCAGTGGGGACCCAGAATGCCTGGATACAGACATGGTGTTTGAGAACCTCCATCAGGATGAACAAAAGAAAGCAACACTGGGTGGAGAGAAAGAGGGCTAGTCACTTTGGATGCCCAAGGGGGTGCTGCTTTCCCTAAATCAGAAGTAGGTCAGCGATGGGCAGAACTCCACAGACACTCCTGAAACGCAACCAGGCCCAGAACACCATTTTTATTTGTTTAGTCTATTTCAAACCTGGGGGTTGGGAGCTCAATCATCAGGGAAGCAGAAGAAAGAGGGAAGTATTCATGTAAGAAGGAGATGAAAAGCAGAGAGAGAATCACTTTTAGGAACACAGATTGGGTGCTGGCACAGGAGAATCCTGGGTGAGGATGAAGAATGACCCTGCATGGTTTTTTGGAGCTGGCCTCAGGAATCCTTTCTCTTGACCTGCAAAAGAGAGGACATCTTCAGAGTCTCAGGGCCTATGAAGTAGCAGAAGTAGGGCAGAGGAGGCAGGCTCTGAGGCTTCATTTGAGTAGGGTTCTCTGGTTCTCTCCATCCTCCAGTGATGCATTCTCTCAGATTCCCTGCATTTTCTCCCCAGCCTAGTAGTCCATTATGGTTTCATTGACATGATAGGATATATTACGCTGAGATTCCCTTATGGCCATGTGTGATGTTCCATATCCTGCCCCCATCATCTGCCTGATCCCACCCTCCTCCTTACCATAGCCATCAGCACAAGGGCACTGACAAGCACGGCATACAAGGTGGCCTTCCCTAGCAAGATCTCATACAGGACGGTGGCAGACAGGACCCCTTGCTGGTAAGACACTGTTGACAAGAACAGAGAGCATGTAGGTAGCTGTGGACAGGTAACTCTGGCTTCCCTCATGCCCCCGTGTCCGTGGATTCCCCATGCCCTGGTTCCAGAGCAGAGATGATGGAGAGAAAAAGGAGAGACTCACTTACCAGAGGTGAAGCCACAGTCTGAAAGAAAACAGGGGAAGAAAAATGGATGAGAGAATGCTGCTTTGTGAGGACACTGAGACTTCCATTACAGACTTTAAGGTCATGGACTCACAGGCCATGAACACATGCATGTCAGATAGTACAAAGTCAGCCACCTTTGATAGCCCTGGTTCCGTCTCTCTCATGCTGGTCCATTGCCAGAGACATGGTCACTATGATCTTAAGAAACCAGGACCCCGGAAGGGGATGGGACACACACCACTCAGATGCTGACCTGTATGGCTGGTCCTCAGGGGGACCTGTCAGCTGAGCTCTAAGGTGTGAGGATCTGGGGGAAGAATGATCTTGAGGTGCCCCGTTCAGCCTCTATCCTTCTTGGGGAGAAAGTGCACACTGTGGTTTGCTGACCCTGTGAACATTGATCCTGCCACCTTCTCCACTCTGGCTTTCTTCTGGATCTGGTCTTGTCCTCTACCTGGATCTTTCCATTTCCCCTGGTAGCTGGTCTCACCCAATCTCCTCCAGGCATCCCCCAGCTCCCACTCACTTGCTCTGCCCCAGGCCTCAGCGCTGACTTTCTGGGTGATGGGTTTGGCCCTTGGCTGGGTCCACTCGTCATCCTCCGAGAGCCCGTAGAACTCGACTTGGCAGCGGAAGTGGTTGCGGGGGTTGTGCCAGAAGGTGGCCGAGACCCTCAGGCGGCTGCTCAGGCAGTATTTGGAGTCATTGAGGGCGGGCTGCTCCTTGAGGGGCTGCGGGTCCGTGCTGACCCCACTGTGCACCTCCTTCCCGTTCACCCACCAGCTCAGCTCCACGTGGTCGGGGTAGAAGCCTGTGGCCAGGCACACCAGCGTGGCCTTTTGGGTGCGGGAGATCTCTGTTTCTGATGGCTCAAACACAGCGACCGTGGGTGGGAACACCTTGCTCAGGTCATCTGGAAAGGGAAGAGGGGTTGGGGCCAGGGCTGCCCTGAGAACTGTCTGGTCCTGGTAGGGGCTCTGTGTGCATGAGACAGAGAGGGCTGGGAAGGGCCATAATGGAGCACAATTATGTTGTACTAGGTCCTCGTTGCTTTGGGGTCACCAGCCTATTCCTCTCTGATTTTTCTGCCTCTTCCTTGCCTGTCTTTTGCATCCACCCTATGGGTCAGCACTGTCCATTTTCTGTCCATCACCCAATTAGGTACTCCCTAACATTCTAGGCAATGTCTCTTCATTGATGTTATTTGATTTCCTCTCCATCAATAAAAACTCTCCTGCCTACTTCTCACCATTTTATGTGGTGGTTTTTTGACTGGAGCAAAGGATTAGAATCTGAAAAAATAAGATCCAAGTCCTAGAACTTTGTCCACCAATGAGACTTTTAAGACAGCAATTCCTATCACCTTTTTTCTGCTTGTGAAGTAAGAATCACCACACTGACTTTGCAGAACGTGTGTGAAGGTTAAATTACATACACATTCAAAAAGTCCCCTCCCAAGCAGGTTATTTGTATCAAATCTAAGGTGCTCAGGAATGAAGGGGAATCTGGGATGAGGGAGACATTTTGGAAATGGGGGCTTTCTTTAGATTTACAGATGGCATGCTTTTGCATTCACATGAGGACACCCTTTGGTTTTACAGTGTATTCATGAGAATGTGAGGTTTTTTCTTTTTGTTGTGCATGAAGTCATGTTACTCATCCCTCTGCCTCCAAGTACCCCTAAGTTTTCTCAGCTCAGACAGATAGTAATCTCCCTTTATTTCAAAATTAGGGACTCTTCAACCTTCTGTGTCCCTTTGCATCCAAATATTATTCGTATTTTTTTCTACTAGCAAGTTTCCCAAATAAACGTCTTATATTATCAGAGTAACTTCTTGCTACTAGTTGTGTTGATACAGTTCCTGTCCTGAGCATCTTCTTTATAGATTCTTAGGGATGACATGTGAATGTATCCCCTTTAATCCCTGAAGACCTTTCTCATTTGGCTGAATCAGTTCTTAGGAGCCTGCCCTCCTGCTCATCTTGTTTTTTTTCTTTTTCTTCCCATTGATTATTATTATTTTTTTGAAAAGCTAATATGCTCATTTTATTAAAAATATCAACATTTACATAATGCTGTTAATTCCCTTTATCAACAAAGTGACCAAATCTATAAATGTACTAACCACGTGTTCAAATTGTATAATTTTCTTTTTATTTTATTTTATTTTATTTTATTTATTTATTTATTTATTTTTTTCCCATTTATTTATTTTATTGCATTTTAGGTTTTGGGATTATTTTTCATTTCTGAGCAGCTCTGTTAAAATAAAGAAATATCATTCTTAGGAGAACCTATTCCGAATCTCCTAGACCATGGAAAAAATTTCTTCTAACATTTCTTCACATGGCTATGGATGTGACTTTCTTCCTGGGTCCCCATGGGGCCTCCTGCTAGAAGGGCCCCCTGCTTGGTTTAGTGCTCTTCTGTCACTGTTTCAAAATCCTAAGTCGTTTTTTAACAAGAGCCCCCGCATTTTCATTTTGAGCTGGTCCTGCTTCCCATCATGTCAGTTTCCCTCCCACCCCACAACTCCTACCTTGCTAGTTAGTTACTATTATGCTTGTGAGTCTTTACTTGCTGAGCTGGGGCTGAAATGGTAATATCCTAACTTCCATCTGCAGAACTTTTGTTCTTTCTGCTCTCAGCCTGCTTATTTTCACTTTCATCTCAAAAACCCTAGCTCTGGGAGTCTACCAGTCCTCCAGAATGCACTCCTTTGATCCCTTCATTTAGCAAACACCCAGTTCCCATTGTAAAAATTAAAAATGTCCCTTGACCATGTGTGCTGTTCTGTAGAATAGTTATTGATGCAATGGGCATGGCGAACACTAGCTACCCCTCACTATAACCAACACACTATCTGTACATGAGGGCAGAGTCAATTCTCCTTCAGTGTTTGTAAGTCCCTGTGGTGTGGGGCATGTCTCTGTGGGTGTAAGTGTGTGAATTAGTGAGCTTCTGGTGTAAGTGTATACTAGTGAACTTCTGGTGTATGTACTAGCAAGCTGTGGGTGTAAGTGCATGTACTAATGAGCTTCTGGTGTAAGTGTGTACTAGTGAGCTGCTGGTGTAAGTGTGGGTATTAGTGAGCTGCTGGTGTTAAGTGTGTGCACTAGTGAGCTGCTGTTTGCCTGTGCTCTACCTGTGGGTTGCACTCACCTTAGGCAAAGTTGTAATGTTTGTCTCACCTCTTCCCAACCCACCTCTGACATAGACACAGCCTTACTCCATTTCCACACTCCAGATCCTGCCTGTTCTTTGGCACTGGGCTGACCCTGCCCCTGCCTCCCCAGTGACCTCCTAGGGGAGGATGGGGAAAAGGAGCACTGAATTACATCAATAATCTGTGCACTCTACATGTTGATCCTCTTTTCTTCTTCACAGCAATAGTAAGTGGTAGGTATTGTTCATTATATTTTATAGTTTAGGAAACTGAGGTTCACACATTAATTTGCCCGAGGTCACCACATCACAAAAGAGCCAGAGGTTCAACTTAACCTTCATCTGGTTCTAAAGTCAGGGTCTTTTCTGCACCCCAGCTGACTGCAGGAACCCCACATTTTCTCTGGATACACATCACTGTAGCTGAGCCCCAGTCCACCCAGCTTAATGACAGCCTAACTACAAATAGTGCAGGTGAATGTCCCACTATCGTGAGTTCCCCCATTCTGGCCTCACGGCAGTCATCAGCAGGTGATGTGTAGGGTCCCTTTGCAGCTCTCAGGGCCCAAAATCTTCCAGAGAATTTTCCTCATCTTGCAGGCAAAAATATCTGCATTTTAATGTGTTTTTGTGGAAAATGAACTCCCTGAACATCTGGGCTGTTCAACCTAGAAGACTTCGTGTGATAAAGGGAGATTTCAGGACAGGGGAGGGAGCAACACGGGTGGGGGGCGGTAAGTGTACCCCAGTGGCTGAGGTTATGTGCCCCACTCTCAGGCTAGCACCTCTTTGCTGACCAGCCCATGGGCAAGCACAGGAACGCTGTGCCCTCACTCTGCACTCAGGGGTCTCTGGCTTAGGAGGAATAGGAACCAGGAACAGGAGTTTTAAGTCGAGTTATAGATCTACACTGCTAAGCCCTAAACTTTGAATTTTTTCTTTGCTGACTTATGTTCATCTCTCTCTTTGACCTCTCTGTTACACTCCTTTGGCAGGCTTTTTCTTCTCTGTTCTACTGAACCCTCGGCTGCAGGATTTCTGTCCCCTGACACCCACCCGCCCGCCCGCAGTGCTGACCCTTGCCCACCCGCGCGGTTCCCAGCCCGCCCAGCTCTTTCTGCCTCTGAGTAGCAGTTACACCCCCTCCTACCCATTCCCCAAACCAGCCTTTCCCTTGGTCCTCTCCAGCCTCGCCTCTCCCAGACACCTAATAAATCCTCTCCTTCTCCATCGCTCACCTTCTCTCTAAACACCCCAGAAAAAAAGATTAAAAGTGGTCATCCTCTGCCCACTTTCCCGGACTCTGAGCAGCAACCCCCCCGTACCCCCGCCCCTTCCCCAGTCTTTCCCCAGGAGCGGGAAGGTGACGCTGCAGAGCAGACTCCAGGTTCTCAGCTCCTCCAACTCCCGTCCGCCCTCCGAGCCCGGGGACCGAGGGGCTGGAAGGTGGGGAGACGCCCGAATCTCACCTGTGACCGTGAGTCTGGTGCCCGGCCCGAAGTGCTGCTCGTAGGAACACAGAGGCGCAGCCCCGCACGCAAACCCCCGAGGCTCCCCGAGCTCCTGCCCACCCGGGGGACCCAGTCCAGGTCTCCCAGCTCAGAGCAGGGGGACCGGGTGCCGTGAAGCCGCTGCCGCCGTCGCCGCCTTCCCCCCGGACCCCGCCGCCCGGGTGGCCCCGCGGAAACTCACCCAGCACGGTCAGCCGGCTGCCGGCCCCGAAAGTCAGGACGTTGGCCCCAGAGCACAGCCCGGGGGCACCCCGCAAAAACCAGACCCAAGCCGCCCGCCCCCGCGCCCCTGCAGCCCGCGCTCACCGAGCACCAGGAGCCGCGTGCCTGGCCCAAAGTACTGGGTCTCTTGGTCACGGCCCCCGAGCCCCGCACAAAAACCCGAGCGCCGTCCCGCCCCCGGTCCCCCGGCGGCCCTGGCTTACCCAACACCGAGAGCCGGGTCCCCGCGCCGAAGTACTGAGTGTTTTGGCTCACAGCCCCGGGGCCCAACACAAAAACTGGCCCTGCGATGCCCCCGGCGTCCCGGAGCGCCCCCTCCCCGGGTCCCTGGCTTACGCGGGCGCCGCCGCTTACCCAGCACGGTCAGCCGCGTGCCTGGACCGAAGTACAGCGGATCTGTGCTCACAGCCTGGAGGCCCAGGACAAAAACTGGCGCCGTCCGCTCTGCTGTCCCAGACTCAGTTGGGTCCTTCCCACTGCTGAGCGCCCCATCGCCCTCCCAGCACCCAGAACCAGGGGTCCCCGGCCCAGGCGCCCAGCAGCGCCTCTCAGCACAGCCCCTCTCAGAGTAGGGCAGCTGCTCACCTCTGCCCATCCCGCCCCCTTGGAGCGCTCCGGGACCCCAGTGGCCTCCTTACCCAGCACCGTCAGCCTAGAGCCCTCTCCAAAGAACACCTGCCCGGTGTTCGCACAGCTCTGGGGACCCTGGCGCAAACCCCGCTTTCCTCGAGGAGGGCCCTGGATGGCCCAGTGTCCACTCCCCTAAGGACAGGGTTCTGGGGTCGTCCAGGCTGGGCAGCCCACCCTCTGTCCCACCTGGAGCCCCCTTCTTACCTAGCACGGTGAGCCGTGTCCCTGGCCCGAAGAACTGCTCATTGTAGGAGCACAGTGGGAACGGGCTGCCCAGAATTCCTTCTCCTTCCCCACCTCCCTTAGCACAGACTGGGGCACACCATCCCTCTCTTTCCTGAACCCATCTCTTCCTGTCTGAGTTAGCTGGACACGGCAACCTGGATCTTGCATGAGGTCACCACCCATTTGCAGAGGAAAATCCACTTGGCTTGGGGACAATACAGTGGATTTGAAATCTGAAGGGGCATTAGTGACACTGGAGTGGCTGGAGTTGGGCAGTGTTGCAGGCTAGACCTTGCTTCTTCTTAGTTATATGACCTATAACCTTTCCGACCTCAGTTTCTTCATCTGAAAAATGTGACAATATCTTTCCCTCAGGGTTTTCGTCTGTTCTTAATAATTCATGTGCAAGTACTTTGTCAAGAGCAAGCTTTATTAGAAGTGCTGAATGATGATCCCACTTTGCTGTCTTGGCCTTCTCATTCCTGGGAAGCTGAGTCTAGACAGGGAGATGCACAGGTGCTGGTTGGGTTGGGGGCCTCTGCCAGACCACAGCTGGGACCAGCCCCAGAGACCTCTCCCGGCCTGGTTGCTGCATTCCCTGGACAGGGTGGGGATGTTTACTGCGGCAGGGCTTTTTGTAAAAGCACCTCCTCTGCCTGAACCATCGTGCTCCCCCCCCAGCCCCCACAATGTTACACCATGATACAAAAATGTTTCCTCCCTGCTAGTCCCCCTCCCCCAACCACTGGGCAGAGGCAGGAAGCGCAGGTGGCAGAGGTTAGTCTGATTGCGTGGGGCTTGGAAAAGACAAAGGCAGTAAAATTAAAATGGGAAGGGCTTGAGGAACGTCACAGTGATGGCAATGCTGGGGGGTATAGAGGGCCCTCCTTGGAACATGCATCACCTGAGCAGAACATCTATGTCATTGTGTGTCCCTGGTGGGGGCTCACTGAGCCCACCTGCTCAGACTGGCATTTATAGTGAAGTGGGTGGGAGGAGCGAGGGTGGCAGGGCAGCTCATAGGAAAATCACAGAGCAGTTGATGGTACCTTATCACAGGAGGGCAAACAGTCCAGAAACTTCTATAATTTCCCATTGCTTCCTGAACAAAGTCCAAACTCCATATTCTTCATCTACTCCACAAGTGTTTAGTGAACAGCCACCATGTGCAGGTTTCATGCTGGTTGCATGGAGGTAAGTTTATTCCCAGAGTGGCAGGCACCAACCTGCCTTCTCAGCTCTGATTTTGGTTACTCCCACTTCTGACCCTTGCAACCAGCAAAATGGTACCCAGAGGTACCCAACCATGTCATCAGGGCTTTTGTTCTTGCCTCTGACCAGCATGGCCATTCTCTAGAGTGAACAACTGAGGCCAGTTCTTCCTTTGAAGAGATTGTCACCTTCTCAGACACTTCCCTGATTATCCCTGTCAGAAATTAAGGGCCACTCTCTGACTGTGTTTTAGTAAGCAGTTCATGTTGCTCTTTCAAAGCATTGACTTGCATTCGGCTCCTTCTGTTCATAAATGAGTCTCTCTGTGAACAGATAAACTTCTTGGGGACTGTAATTTGGGTATCTTAATTTTCTTGGAAGTTGATGACAACACATTGCAGTGATATGTGTTTAATGAATGATGTGTGCACATGTGTATAAATATAAACATATATGTACACATGTGTGCATACATGCACACACATCTTTGAATGCATGTATGTATTGCAATAAAGAGGGAAGACTGTGTGGTGTAGTCCTGTAAGTTGAAGGATAACAGCTACTTTGGGCAGGACTTATGGTGATGATTACTCCTGGATTGGGTCATTTTGGGTTCACTCATTTATTCATTTATTTATTCAAACATAACCTATATGGTGTCTACACTGAACTAAGGTACCATACCATAGCCCCGGGGTACTATCATAAAATGTCTCCTTGTTAACAAGGAGCTCATAGCCCCTGGGGGTGTCAGACAAATAAAGAGGTAATTTCCAGCAAGTGGGATGTGTCACAAAGAAGATTATATACAAGGCACTGTGATAGCAAAATAAAGGGTGTATTTAATCTAGTCTCAGGGGAGGAAGAGGTAAGGAAGGGGCAAGAAAGGGCCAGAGAAAGCTTTTTTGGAGGGGAAGACATTGAAGCTAAATCTTTAAGTCTAAACAGGAGTTATTGTGGGAAGAAGAGTACTTTGTTACCCCGGGGAAGAAGAGCATGTGCAAAATGGCCTGAAAGAAGCAGCTCAGGGGTTTCCAGGATGAGAGAAGTGAGGAGAGTGTGGAAGGAGGCAGGGATAATCATCGGGTCTCCTGTGCCACCTTTAGGATTTGGGACTCCAACACCATGGTGACAGTGAGGCAAGGAGAGCTTTTGAAGGAATTTTAGAAGTAGGAATAGGGCTGATTCTCTGTTTTAGATGACTTCATTTTCTATCCTTCCACGAGTCATCAGGGGACATTTTCACACCTGTTTAATTCTAGAGAGAAATTTATAAACGGATTGGTAACTTAAACTGGAAGACACATCTCCCATTAAAAATAAGTTTCCAAGTCAGAGCATCTCTTCTTCAGAGCTGGGAAATCAACTTGATGAACCAATGAGGATGAGTGGAGTGCTCAGGAAGAGCTGCAAGGAAGGTGGGTCATGCATACAGAATCCAGCTTTGTTAGTCATGGGGACATGGCCAGCTGGAGGGCGAATACACCTGTGTAGATTGGCTCTTCCTCTGAGAACTTTTTTCCTGGCAGAACAGTATAGTTCGATATAGAAAATTCCTATACTCAACATCTGTGTCTTCCTAGATTGTTCTAGGATAACCTCTTCACCTTCCATCACTGCCTTTTACATTGAATTAATCTCTGCTATTGATCTCAAGGTGGGCGCCTCACCCCTATTATGTAAATAGTCTCCATTTTCCTCGAATACCTCTGGTTTCTATCCTGATTGAATGGGGAGAGTCACAGGGAGTTAAGAGACAGCCAAGGAACTATGCAGACACTCACAAGTCAAAGTCAGGCCAGACCAGAACATTTTATTGGCTCAGTCATGTAGGGATGCTAGAGTTCCCCTGGGTTAGGGAGATTTCAGCCCTGAGTGTGCAGGTGTACATGCATATAGGGGGCAGATATTGAGATGCACAGAGGGGCGAGAGCAGCTCTTCAGAAGCACTGGCGAAAGAAGAATGTGTATTAAAACCACGACGGGTTGGAAGCTCCTAACTCCACTTCCAGAGCTGCCTTCAGAAATCCTTTCTCTTGACCTGCAGAAGAGAAAGTTTTGGGGATTATTAAGTGCTAGGAGTTGGGATTGAGAGGAATTAATAGGGCCCATTGACCATACAAATAGTAAGGTCACAACATCCATTGAGTTTTCAGGTGACTCCAGCTTCTCCTTCCCAGCATGAACCTTCCACTGTGATCCTCCAGAGGTGCAAGTTGTCTTCTGAGGCATCTGAATGAAACCTCTTCCCTCCCTACTGCCCAGCTCCAATCCTGGCAGGGACTCTATGCTTCTGGGTCTGAGTTGCTTGGGGTGTCAATGTGTCACTTCCAGCCTGCTGCCCCCATCCTGCCCTCCTGCTTACCATGGCCATCAGCACGAGGGCACTGACCAGCACAGCATACAGGGTGGCCTTCCCCAGCAGGATCTCATAAAGGACAGTGGCAGACAGGACCCCTTGCTGGTAGGACACTGTTGGCAGGGAGGAAGGACAGGGATGAGAGAAGTGAGGAGAGTGTGGAAGGAGGCAGGGAAAATCATCGGGTCTCCTGTGCCACCTTTAGAATTTGGGACTCTATCACCATGGTGACAGTGAGACAATGGAGAGCTTTTGAAGGAATTCTAGAAGTAGGAATAGGGCTGATTCTCTGTTTTAGATGACTTTATTTTCTATCCTTCCACGAGTGATCAGGGGACATTTTTGTACCCATTTAATTCACTAGAGAGAAATTTATAAACAGATTGGTAACTTAAACCGGAAGACACATCTCCCATTAAAAATAAGTTTCCAAGTCAGAGCATCTCTGTGCACAGGTAGCTCTTGTCTCCCTCACCCTCCAGTGTCTGTGAGTTCTCCATGCCCTGTTTCTAGATCAAGCACCACGGGACAGGGAGAGGAAAAGGGAGGGCTTACTTACCTGAGGTGAAGCCACAGTCTGAAAGAAAGCAAGGCGAGGAAAATAAGAAACTTTATTTTCATAGGCAACTAAAAGTAAAGTCAGATTTGCAGTTGGCACAGACTCCCAGACCCAGACCAGCCTCCTCTGACTGCCTACCACCTCCTTTCCTCTGCCATGCCAATGTCAGCCACATTGTCCTTGCGATCCATGACATGTGGCAGCACTGAGGGGACTAGGGGGCACCATTCAGATGAGAGTTACACAGGCCACTAGAAAGGAGACCCAGCCGCATGGCTTTGTTGGGCTGAGAATCTCGGGGAAGAATGAGCCACAGGTGCCCAAGTCTCCCTCATGGTGTGCACTGGTTCCTTTCTTTTTGGATCTGGTCTTGTCCTCTACCTGGATCTTTCCATTTCCCCTGGTAGCTGGTCTCACCCAATCTCCTCCGGGCATCCCCCAGCTCCCACTCACTTGCTCTGCCCCAGGCCTCAGCGCTGACTTTCTGGGTGATGGGTTTGGCCCTTGGCTGGGTCCACTCGTCATCCTCCGAGAGCCCGTAGAACTCGACTTGGCAGCGGAAGTGGTTGCGGGGGTTGTGCCAGAAGGTGGCCGAGACCCTCAGGCGGCTGCTCAGGCAGTATTTGGAGTCATTGAGGGCGGGCTGCTCCTTGAGGGGCTGCGGGTCCGTGCTGACCCCACTGTGCACCTCCTTCCCGTTCACCCACCAGCTCAGCTCCACGTGGTCGGGGTAGAAGCCTGTGGCCAGGCACACCAGCGTGGCCTTTTGGGTGCGAGAGATCTCTGTTTCTGATGGCTCAAACACAGCGACCGTGGGTGGGAACACCTTGCTCAGGTCATCTGGAAAGGGAAGAAGGGTTGGGGCCAGGCCTGCCCTGAGAACTGTCTGGTCCTGGTAGGGGCTCTGTGTGCATGAGACAGAGAGGGCTGGGAAGGGCCATAATGAAGCACAATGATGTCGTTCTGGGTCCTTATTGTTTGGGGGTCACCACCCTAGTGTCTGTTGCTCTCTCTCCACTTTGCCCCTTCTTTCAGTGCTGTCCCATGGATGTGCACTGCCTCCTGTATCCCCACATTATACCTGGTTTGTCTTGGCTGTTTTTACTCTGAGGCTTGTCTGATCATCTATCCAGATAATTTATCTGTGTATCTTGATTCTTCAAAGCCTTGCTTGGTGCATGGCTATCTAATCCCAAAATCTGAGGTAGGAGACTGTCATCAGTGGCATAATTATAATAATGAAATTGATGTTTTCTAATTATAATTTTCCTTTTTTAAATCAAGGTATATATATATATATATATTTGTCTCTTGGGCTAGTACTGCATATTAGAATTAGCTTTTCTTTTCTAGAAAAGACACTTTTCCATTGCATCTGACTCCCCTACCTGCCCAGCACTTTTTTAAACAATTTTGTTTTCTTGCATGTAACCTTCTTTAAAGAGCCAAACCTGGTCAATATCTGAGGTGATGGTCCACATTTACTTCTCTCCTGGGGCACAGGAGGGTGTGGGAGCTTGTCCAGGATGACTGAAATTCCATGGAACCTGATGGTGGTGGGATTAACCCTTTATTATCTCAGAGTGTCCAGAGACCCTGCCTGGCCAGGATTGGAATCCATTCACAGTTAAGCTTTGCATTCTCAAAAGCAGTGCAAGCTCTACCACTGAGTATGAACAAACCACAAAGTCTGAGGGCTATTTCAGCAGAAGGCTCACACTGTAGAGCCCTGGGCCCTTTCACATGCTTGACAGAGGAGAGAAAGGATTTCTTGGATTACTGGAAGGAATGTCCTCATCTGAAGACACATGAGAAGTGGAGGAAACCACAATTTACCGTGCTCTTTGCTTGGCTCTGTTCCAACCCTGGGAGTGAGCTTTTGGTGCAGAAATGTGGCGAGCCTAGATATGTGTTCTTATCCAAATTTGGGAAATGTTTTCAATAGGAAAATTGAGATGCAGGTTTGGAAAAAGGCAAACCCTGTGACCCAGTGCTGATAAGCAGCAGGAATGAAAAGGATTGTCACCACAAGTTGAGTCCTTTACCAAAGATTTTTATATTAGTTAGTCCGTTAGTTTATATGTCTTAGAGAGACAGCTTAAGTTGCTTTTTAAGTTGCACACCTCCCCCACCACAGCCCCTTGAACTCAGGCCTTTGAATGTGGTGATTTGTACTTTCCACTCAGCTCCTTGGTGTGTGTCCCCACCTGCGTGAATGTCTGCCCAACCCCTACACATCGGTAGATCCTGTGTATCCCATTCCTCCACCTTGCCTGTGTCTCCATCCTAGACCTCATTCCCTCCCAACCCCAATCCACCACCTCTCTGCTTCCTCCCCAGCATGGGAAAGGTTATACTAGGGTTTCCTGGGGGGCCCCTTACCCTATTATTCCAGTATAGATTCTGAGGCTTAAGTAAGTGGAGTCTCCTACCCATTTTTTCTTCTTTATACCTTATCTGTTGCTAAGATAATGTCAGTTTCCAGTTGTAACACTCTCTTCGGACCTATCTCCCAAACACCTGCCAAGACCAGTGCACCCCAGAGACTCCCTGCAGCTCACGCAATGCTGTGACACAGACTCCAGCCCTCAGGAGGCCTCAAGAGCAGCCCTGAAACCACCTGTCTCCCCAGCCTGGTCCCCCCGACTCATGAACCTTTAAACTACCTCAGGAAGACATAGATGGATCTTCTGCGACTGGTAGAGAAAGAAAGAAGGAGGAAGATAAAGGCACGAGCAGAGTTCTGTGCTGGAGGCTGCTGGTACTGGGGAGAATCTTAACATAGAGGATAGTAGTCCCCAAATGGAGTCAATAATACAGAACTGGAGTGAGAATGGGAAGGAAAAAATGGAGAAGACGCAATTTAAAAAGGGAAAGTGAAGCAACACATCCGCTAAGAAATGAGAGACGAGAAGAGTCCCAGAAAACAATGAAAAGAAGAGTGAAAACACACAGCCCTGAAGACTAAGCAAGGAGCTCTCCAGCTGGGGAGCTGCAGCCAACACAGCAGAGCAACAGACTGAACGAGCTCCGGGGAAGGAAGGAGAGGGCACGGCGCTCCAGGTAGGAAGGGGTGACCCTGACCTCCGTCCTTACACCCAATTCCCTTCCCAGCAACTGATCATTGCAGTCACACACAGGCACCCCCGAGTCAAGAGTGGAGCCCCCATACCTGTCACAGTGAGCCTGGTCCCGTTTCCAAAGTTGAGGGGCAAATTATAGGAGCACAGCTGCAGAGGCTTAGATAAAACCCACCTGCAGATCTCCAGCCAGAGGGCAGGTCTTAGCTTCCTGCCAGCAGGATGGCTGCCTTTCTCTGCCTGGATTCATGGCTCTGGACTAAAGGAATTCTGTTAGGAAGAAGGCCTAAGCATACGGTGGAGCATGAGGGGCAAGAAGAAGACACTTAGAGGCAGAGCCATGCACATAAGAGGGAGGATGAGCTGAGAAGGGAGTGAGGAGGCAGATTATGGACTGAAGACTTAGAGAAGAGAAATAGAGGACTCAACCAAGACACACCGAAAGGGAAGGCAGGCACAGCTCTGTGGAACCCCACGGGGTAAGAGACTTTACTCAATCTCCCTCCACCAGCGCCGGGAGGAGAAGCAGAAAACTCTGCCTCCAAAGGACAATGGCCCTACCGCCCTGGTGCTGCAACTTACCTAGGACGGAGAGTCGAGTCCCATCTCCAAAATGCTGTGCCTGATTGTTACACAGTGATAATGAGTGTGGCAAACCCCAGAGGAACTGCTGCAGGCCCTTCCTTCCAGAAGCTGCTTTCTCACAGAACTGGGGACCTCGCCACATGCTCCACTGACCCATATTTTCTGAGCTTTTCTTGGCTGTGTTCTCAGTTTCTGCCCTCCCCAAGGAGCCCTCCAGGAACTCCGACCTCATGATACACTATTCCTAAAGAAGTCTTTTACATACCTAAGACAGAGAGCTGGGTTCCACTGCCAAAAAACAGCTTGTCATTAGTTGCACAACATTAAAGACTGGGAGGAAAACTGCCACCTGCTGCCTTCCACTCCTGCCTCCCCAAGTCCACCTGCCAGGTCCTCTCCTGTTCCTTAGCAGAATTTTAACCCCGGGAGGTAGAGGGTGGTACAACCCAAAATGCGGTGATTAGGCCCCGTGTGATCCCCCAAGTTCCCTCCTCTGTGTCCTTTCTGTGTGAGGGAGAAAAATAGCAGGATCACGGTGGTAAGGTCAGACGGGCACCCTTCAAGGAGACAGGAGATGCTCAAGGTGACCCCTTCCAAGCTGACCTCCCATCTCTCAGTAAAGGAAACTAACTAGGCACAGGCAGTCTATGAAACAGTGGAGAGGGACGCTGTTCCCTCCTTGTCTGCCTCATAGGTCTTCCTGATAAAAATACGCTTTAGCCTAAGCCCCAGAGACAAAGGCTCCATCTGGATTCCAGCCCCTTTTGGCAAGTTCCCAGCTGTCCAGCCTTGACTTACTCACCTACAACAGTAAGCCGACTTCCCTCTCCAAAATATACGGTGTTTCCAGAACACAGTCTCCCAGGGCCACTTCAAAACCTCCCAGTCTCTGCTGAGCACAGCTGGGATTCAGGCAGAGGGTGGGAGTTCATGGAACTCTTCCCTCACAGAGACACAGCTCTGCTTCCAGCCCTCTGCGTTCCCTTCCAGAGCTTGCCCAAGACCCGGGCAGGTGACAGAAAGAGACACAGAGTGGCCTCCTATAAAATCCAGCACAGGAATGTACAAAGAATCCTCAGAAAACCTCTTTCAGTGAAGCAGATAGAGAGGTGTTGTGGCTTGTTAATTACCTATTAATGCACCTATTATTAATTAGGCTTTCTCTGGGCTCCCCTATCTCAGGGAACTATGAAGAGCGGCATCCTTCCCTTCCTTTTTCTGTCCCATCATCCTGGGCTCAGCGCTGACTCCGTTCAGAGCCTCTGGGAAGCCGGGGTGGATTTGCCCTCACAAGGAGCCTCCTCTGAACTCAATCCCGGGACTTGAGATGACATCTCCCTCAATCTGGCCCCAGTTCTCTTTGACATTTCCCAGGACAGAGTCCTCCCTCATCGCACCCCTCCTAGAGACCCCCAGCCTTACCTACAACCGTTAACTTGGTTCCTGAACCGAAGGTGTAGTCATAGCACATAAGAATACAGCCACTCTAAAAAGGACACTTTGAACCCACTTTTCCCTATGATAGATCTGCAAAAGTACCTGAAAAATGTCTTACCTACAACTGTGAGTTTGGTGCCTTCTCCAAAGAAAGCTTCAGTGTTCACACAGTGACAAGGGTCAAGGTGCAAATTACATTCGAGGCATAGAGGGAGGAGAGGGCCCTGGCTAGCGTCGTGGTCACTGAGATTAGAAATCTCCTCCTGTGCTTTATGGGTATGGCACAGAACACGTTCGACGTTTGCTTTTCAGGACCATGGAGAATGACAGAGTCCATCCACAGGGACTTAGGTCCCTTTCTCAAAGGATGCCCCATTCAAATGCTCCCTCTCTGAGGGTCCATCGAAAGGGAAAGGGTGTGGCCTGCAGAGGAGGTCAGGGGCCCAGAGCCTGTGGCTTCATCCATAGCTACCCATGGCTTCTTCCCGAGTCCTCTGGAGAGCTGGTCACCTCCAGTGCACCATCCCTCTGACCTTGTCCCCATTCTGTGGGGATTGGGACCCTCCCTGAGTCCTCCACTTGTGAGGTCCCTGAGGCATTCTTCTTATGTCTGAGTTTTCTCTGCCTGGGAAGCTTTAGTTCTGATCTGAACCATCCTTGTCCACGGTCTTGGTCTGACATGTGGTCAGGAGGGAGGCAGAGGCATTCTGAACCAAATTGCATTAAGACCTGTGACCCAGGAAGAAGGAAGAGGAACTCTGGGAGCTGGAACCACCAGTGAGGTTTTTGTAAAGGTTTCCCATAGAATTGAATCATTGTGGCCCCCCTGTCCCCACAATGTTACAGCTTTGTACAAAAACGGCCCCTCCCATGAGTCCGCCCCCCAGAGCCTGGGAGAAACCACCAGAGCAGCTGCTCCTTTGAGAGGAGTGGGGGGTGGGTGACATCACCCCCATTGTGCAAGTTGATGGTGGGGTATGGCCCAGGCCAGGGGCTTCCTCCTCACTTCCAGGCACTGTCCTCAGGATGTTCTGAGCTCCTTAGAGCTGGGTGTCTTTGTAAGGCTGTTTGCTGAAGGGGCTGGTCTTCCCCAGTACCCACCCCTCTCCAAGCTGTCGTCATGTTGGGGCACCTCCCTGTTGAGAAGCCACGGCCCCCATTGTCACTACCTGGCCCTACCCAGAGGGTGTTCACCACTCAAAGGATTTTAAGCTATGACTTAAAATCCAGAAAAAGAAAAAAAGACAAGCTTCATTGCATAATGATGACATACTTGCATGATAAAATATAAACAGAATCAAAATATACATGACAATCTGGGAAAAATATTCGCAGTTCTCGCCATCAGGGCTAATCTCCTCAACATATGGTGAACTCCTAGAAATCAATAAGAAAATAATCAAGCAGCCCAACAAAAATGGGCAACGAGCAAATTGTTCAGAGAAAAATAAATCCAAACAGTACCTATCAGGAAAACAAATCACAATAATAAATGTAAAATTAAAAAAATTCATCAAAATACCCGTTTCACTAATTTGACTGAAAGTTGAATTATATGCCTATCAGTAAAGTCCTGGATAAATAAACTGTGATATGTTCACATAATGGAGTAATATTCAATGCTAAAAAAGAATGAAAATATTTTGTATTGCTATGGAAAGTTCTCCATGATACATTATGAATCAGAAAAGAGAAAGTCACACAATAGCATAACTAAATGTCAGCTTTGTCTAACAGAGTGGGGAAAAGAAATATCCTTTTGTATTTACTTGACTTTAGATGCAGAAACACTGTAAATATACAACAGAAACTGACAAGACTGATGACCTATTACGAATGAGTGTAGTAAGCTGAGTGCAGTGGCTCACGCCTGTAATCCCAGCACTTTGGAAGGCCAAGCAGGACGGATCGCCTGAGGTCAGGAGTTCGAGACCAGCCTGGCCAATATGGCGAAACCCCAACTCCAATAAAAGTCCAAAAAAAAAAAAAAAAATTAGCTGGGCATGATGGCAGATGCTTGTAATCCCAGTCAGCTACTTGGGAGGCTGAGGCAGTAGAATCACTTGAACCCAAGAGGTGGAGGTTGCAGTGACCCAAGATCATGCCACCGCACTCCAGCCTGGGCGACAGAGTGAGACTCCATCTCAAAACAACAAAACCAAACAAAACAAAAAAAGTCGATTGCTTTCATCCATTGGAATGTGTCAAAGCCTCTTCCCAGTACCTTTCCTAATTGAAGTACATAGTTTATTTTGATCTATTTCTGCATGTTTTCCTGGTTCACTCACCCCGTTTACCTATCAACAATTCATCCTCTAAGTCAGCGTCTTTCAATCACCTAGTGGGGGCCCTCATCCTGACTGCCTTATGAGTAATAATGCCACTCTGTCTTGGCATCATGGTTTTTTAAAATTCCGATGGAGTTTGTCCAGTGTTGCCTCTCTGGACGGTATACCCAAGCGCACATGCGGCATTTTTTTCCATAGAAGCCCGGAAGACCAGTTAGGCAGGTATCAAGTTGGGCTCACTCATCCACGTGGGCAGCAGGGGGCAGCCTTTCCTTATTTTTTAGACCTAAGTAACTGCAATCTGGGCTCCGCCACTTGAGGGGGCGAGAAGAATGCGCAGCGCGTGGTGGGGCGCGGACTGGAAGGAAGCAGGGTTACTCCTGCGCCTCAGTGTCGGGGGCGGATACGCAAAGAACATTTTACACGTGCAATTCTTGAAAGCTTTCCAGCGTGTTCATTTCAACCTAAATTCCTTCTGGTGGTGGTCTCAGTTGAGGAACTGAAATCCGAAGAGGCTAAAATCAGTTGCCCAATGATGAATCAGCAGAGCTGACACCGCGCCCTCAAGACAAACTCAGGGGATGCCGCCACTGTGAAGTCCGCCTCCTGCGGCCAGACTGCCCGGCTCCCAGCAGCCTTGTAGCGTGGCTAAACCTCTTAAACTCTGTCTCTTTTGTCTGTGAGATGGGAACACTAATGAGAGCTACCTCACAGGGTTGTGAAAATTGCACCGGATAGTGCATGTCGCGGTTAATCATGGTGCCAGAAGAGTCAGTCAAAATGTTAGTGGCTGAGGCTGGGCGCGGTGGCTCACGCACGTAATCCCAGAACTTTGGGAGGCCGAGGTGGGCGGATCACCTGAGGTCAGGAGTTCGAGGCAAGCCCGACTAACATGGTGAAACCCCGTTTCTACTGAAAATACAAAAAATTAGTCAGGGGTGGTGGCACGCACCTCTAATCCCAGCTAGTCGGGAGGCTGAGGCAGGAGAATTGCTTGAACCAGGGAGGCGGAGCTTGCAATGAGGCAAGATTGCACCACTGCACTCCTGCTTGGGCAATAGGAGCGAAAGTTCGTAAAAAAAGAAAGAAAAGAAAGAAAGGAAGAAAGGAAGGAAGAAAGAAAATAGAAAAGAGAGAAAGAAAGAAAAGAAAGATGTTAGTGACTTTTCAGAGAGATGCTATAACTGCTCAATAGGTTCACTTTGCCTGCCGTGTAGACAGAGTCCATTTATGAAGACAGGGGAATTGCCATAAAGAAAGAGTGATTCACGCAGAGTTTTAAAGGATAATTTGGTGGGTGCAGGGGAAAGCATTGAGTTGGGAGTGCTCATCAGTTGTGTTGGAGATGAAACCCCTCCTGTTTTCTTGTCAGTTTCTGAGTGTGGGCCGCAAGACCAGATGAGCTAGTTTATCCACCTGGGTGGAGCCAGTTGATCCGTGGACCTTAGAGTCTGCAATATATCTCAAGCACTGATCTGAGGTTTTACAATAGTGATATTAACCCCAGGAACAATTTGGGGAGGTTTGGAATCTTGCAGGCTCCAGCTGCATGACTCCTAAACCACAATTACTAATCTTTTGGCAAATTTGTTAGTTTTATAAAGGCAGTCTAGTCTTCAGGCAAAAAAGGGATTTGTTTTGTGGAAAGACTGTTATCATCTTTGTTTCAAACTATAAACTAAGTTCTTCCCAAAGTTAGTTCAGCCTACACTCAGGAAGGAATAAGGACAGCTTAGAGGTTAAAAGCAAGATGGAGTTGGTTGGGTCAGATCTCTTTCACTGTCTCAGTTATAATTTTGCAATGGCGGTTTTAATACTGGTGTAGGGATGGCTTTATCATACCCATTCTCAAGTTTTCAGCAGGCATCAGAAGACCTGGAAGATGTGTTTGAATGCAGGTTGCCAGCTGGGTGTGGTGGCTTGTGCCTGTAATCCCAGCACTTTGGGAGGCCAAGGGGTGAGCAGATCACTTTAGCCTAGGAGTTTCAGACCAGCCTGAGCAACACAGCGAGATCGCCATCTCTACAAATAATAATAACATTAGCTGGGTTTGTGGTGTGTGCCTGTGGTCCCAGCTACTTTGGAGGCTGGGCTGGGAGGATCCCTTGAGCTTGAAAGATCAAGGCTGCAGTGAGCAGTGATCATGTCATTGCACTTCAGCTCGGGCAACAGAGAAAGATCCTATCTCAAAAAAAAAAAAAAAAATTGCTGTTTGTTGGGCCCTGTCCCAGGATAGCTGACTCAGTGGGTCTGAGGTAGGGCCTAGCTTTTCCATGTCTTGTAAATTCCCAGGTGATTTTGGTGTTCTGGCTTAGGGACCACTCTTTGAGAGCCATTCCTCTGGAAGGGTCTTTCTTATCTCAGCACATTTCCCTCCAGTCCTACTCCATGTTTACTCCTCCACTCACTGCGTGCTTATTACAGCCCATGCTTTGCTTAATCACTGGAGATGCCAGGATACATAAGACAAGACGTCCCTCTTCGAGGAGCACACAGTCGATTGCCCAAATGGACACATCCATTGCACCTGAGCACCTGAGCAGGACTAGGACAGAGGTAAGCAGAGAGAGGAGGAGGACTCCTGCCTCAGACCCGAGGGCGGGGCAGCAGCGCCAGACCCAAGGGAAGTGGGGACAAGGAAAAATCAGGAAGACTTTCTGAAAATGGTCAAGGGGAGGTTGGGAAGGGCTTCCAGTCTGAGGGTGCCATAGTGTCCAGAGACAGAGGCTGGAGGCACATGGCTTGTTGGGTGAGCCATCAGGGTTTCTGAGCAGGGGAGGGGATGAGGAGGAGGGTGGTGAAGAGGCATAAGGCTGGGAGTGGAGGCAGGGGTGGAGCACCCTCCATTTCCATAAGGAGCTTGGATTCTAGTTTGATCACTGTGGGAGGTTAGAGCGATGCCATGACCAGGAGCTCTCTGAGAGCAGTCGTCTTGCAGGGAGGTGCAGGGAGGCAGGGAATGGGTGATGCTGATGGGGCTGGAGAGACGTCAAAGGTCAGAGCTGATGGGCTTTTCATCGCTTCGGACATAGTCGTAGCAGGATGTGAGGTGGGGCACAGAGAGCGTGGGCTTTGAAGCCAGGCAAATGAGGAGTCAACCCCCGACCTACCATCTGCTGGGTGTAGGATGTGGGTAAACTAATAAGCCTCTCTAAACCTGTTTTCTTATCTGTACTGCTAGATTATTAACTACTCTGGAGGGGAGAGGAAACTAAATGGGGAAATGTCTATGCATAGGAATAGTGTATACATGTTGGTATTATTACATGGGAGGAAGAAAACGCCAGCTTCTCAGGAGCACGAGGGATGGAGATTTATCTTCTCCCCTCCAGACACACGAGCCCGTTGTCGGGCAACAGGGCCAGCAGGATCACCTCCAAGCAGGACATCAGCTTGCGGGGAGCACAGGCTGGGTGAGCAGGAGCCATGTGGAGAGGGGCCTCCAGGGAAGCTGAGGCCGTCAGTGCTGGCCTTCCCCTGCATGTGTTTGCTCTGGGCACAGAGAGGACCCTGTGTAGTCAAAAGTGGCAGTGACGTGTTGCCAAGCATGCCAGTGTGTCACACATCAGCACATGTGGAGCCCACACAATTGCCAAGGCCAAGAAACCTCTTTAAGATCACTGTTCTAGTGGGTAGAGGAGGAGAGGAAGGAGGAGGAGGTGGCCATGCTGTGATGGAGGTGCAGGAGCAGGAGGGGCTTGCAGAGGAGAGACTTGGGGCGGTCTGTGTGTGGAGGGGCGTCGTGTGTGGTGTTCCTGGTCCTCCAGGTGCTGCCCAGCCCCTGTCAGTCAGGGGTAAAACCCCGTGAGATAAGCCTGTGTGGTACCAACGACCACACCACGCTATACCTGTGACACAGGGCACTGCTGTGGCTCTGGTGGCTCTGGCTGGCGTGGGCCACCATCATTCAGCATTCTCCTGAGCTGCTGCTTTGTCTGCTGCCAGCGCTGAGCCGAGCACTGCCTTCAGACCAGGCAGGAGCAACAAGAAATCAATCCAGTCACCTGTAGAAGCACATGATTACTCAGCACTGCCATTTTATTTTCAGGGTTTTTGCCAAACTATTTACTACCTTGTTATGAGGGAGTGGTTTCCCGACTTCTAACTCTTCCCCGACCATATAGTGACTTCCAGCTATGGCATGTGGCTCTGCAGGTGGCAGTGCCCCTGGGGTTCCCAGGGAGCCCAGAGCAGCCCCTTGTCTGGGCCCAGCAGAAGCAGCACAAGACCCCCAAGCATCTGACCCTGGGGCCTCTGACACCAGCTGACCCAGCGGCCACCTAAGACCCGGGAATGGAGCCCTGTGGCTCTGTGGCCAGCCTGGGGGAATTGGACCCAGGGGCCTTCCAGGGAAAAATTTAGGATATAAGGTGGAGCTTCTGAAAGAGTACAGCTCTGAGTGTGACAGAGTATCCCCACCCTTCCCTGCTCCCCTTCCCCCCAAGCAAAGAGAAGATGCCTGGAGACATCACAGCTTCACAGGTGACTCAGGCACCAAAATGTGTGTGTGCGTGCAACTAGGGCCAACATGACAGTGGCCCCAAAGCATTTAACATGCTCATCGGGGATGCCCTGGATGGCTCCCTGGACTTCTGTGACTTCCCTGGGCAGTCTCCTGATGATGAGGAGGAAGGCCCCTGCAAGGAGCAAGCTTGAGAGTCTGGCACTGCACCTGCCATGGCCCCCCAGTGCCTGCTGCTGAGCACCATGGATGAGCAGGACTCTCCCATCTCCAGAGCAGCAGCTCCCCAGCCAGAGGCTGCCCTTCCTGCACCCAAGACCTTGGCAAAGCAGCCGGGCCAGGAAACAAACATGAGAGTGGCTTTCCATGACTTTCAGAGAAAGTGGTGCAGCCGCTTTGTCCTTTTTTTGGTCTCTCCTATCCTGCATTTTTCTCCGTCTCCAGGTACAGTTTGGGAGGTGGATGCCTCTCCCCACACAAAAGCATTTGGGGTTCATTCCTGATACCACTTCATCCCCATTTCCCCCATTTAAAGTCAGGCCTCACCTACCTGTTTGGGTCAGAGAGATGTGTGTTTTAAAAGCCTTGAGGAAGGAGCCAGGGACTGTGCCCTGAGATGATTATTGGTGAAGTGGATTTATGCTTAATTTCAGTTTGAGAGAAAGTTGCTGTGTCTCAGCCTAGGACAGGCAGCCCGTTAGGGCCCTGGGTGATAAGGGAAGCCCACAGAGGCCCAGGGTTTGTCACCTGTGGCTACCAGTGTCTGCAGAGCCAGAATTGAGCTAATTCTGAAAAAGGAGAGAGCTGATGGGCAGTTGTATGGTAGGTTGCTATGGTGCTTGTTGATCTCTCAAATTCCAGGTTACAAGATCCATGCATCCTTGAGGGGCCCCTTCCCAGCAGGCTCTGGTGGCTACAGACTGGTTCAGGTGTGGAAGATCATACCATTTTACCTTTGGTTTTTCTTTGAAAAACAAACAATGAAAGACAGATGGAAACCAGAACTCTACCAGTGGGCAGGCCAGATTTCGCTTCTGGAAAAGGGATATTTGTAGCTCTTCTCCACAGTGGCCTTCAAAGAGCTTGGCTACAGAATGGCCATTACTAAAAATTTAAATAATAGAAGCTACTGGTGAGGCTGCACAGAAAAGGGAACACTTACACATGGTTGGCAAGGATGTAAATTAGTTCATGGAAAAATTAATGCAGAAAGCAGTTTGAAGATTTCTCAAATAATTTAAAACAGAACTACCATTCCACCCAGCAATCCCTTTACTGGGTATACACCCAAAGGGAAATATTTGTTCCACCAAAGAGACATGCACAATTGCGTATTCGTCACAGCACTATTTGCAGTAGCAAAGACATGGAATCAACTAGGTGGCCATCAATGGTGGACTGGATAAAGGAAATGTGGTTCCTATACACCATGGAACACTATGTAGCCATGAAAAGAATGAAATCATGCCCCTTGCAGCAACATGCATGGAGCTGGAGACCACAATCATAAGCAAATTAACATAGGAACAGAGAACCAAATACCACATGTTCTCATGTGTAAGTGGGAGCTAAGCCTTGGGTCCACATGGATATAAAGACGGGAATAATATACACTGTGGCTACTTGGGGGAAGAGAGAAGGAGGGTGGAAAGGGCTGAAAAACTGCCTATTGTAACTATGCTCACTGCCCGAGTGATGAGATCATTTGTACTCCAAGCCTCACGCGTATATACTCATGTATCACACAATATACCCATGTAACAGACCTGCATATGTACCCCCTGAATCTATAAAGTTGAAATTATTATTTTTTTTAATGGAGCTTGGGGCAGAAGCGGTGGCTCACACCTGTAATCCCAGATTTTGGATCACTTGAGGTAAGGAGTTCAAAACCATCTTGACCAACATGGTGAAACCCTGTCTGTATTAAAAATACACACACACACACACACAAATTAGCTGGGCATGGTGGTGGGTGCCTATAGTCCCAGCTGCTTGGGAGTCTGAGGCAGAGAATTGCTTCACCCCAAGAGGCGGAGGTTGCAGTGAGCAGAGATCGTGCTGCTGCATTCCAGCCTGGATGTAGTTGAGCCAGGAGGAGTTGTTTTGTGTGAAGGCTGAGGTGGGGCTCTTCGGAGCCTCTGTGAGCAGGAGGCCCTAAGCCATGGCGGTGGACAGAGCTGCAGTTTTCTGCCTCTTTGCCCTTTGGTCTGGACCTACAGGTGACCAGTACCAGCCTCCGTCCCGAGCACACTTTCTACAGGGCTTCCCATCTCAAAGTTCCATGTGAGCAAAAGGACTGGGAAAGCTGTGTGGCCTGAGAAATGGCAACCCCATGGCCTGGCTCTCACACGGCATTTTGTCTTGGATTTTGAATAAGCATTTTTTTGCTTGTTTTGTGTTTTTGGTGGTGGTGGTGGTTTATTTTAAATGGATCTCTTGGAAGAAATCCCTCGGTTACCTGTGATTTTCATACCGTTTCTGCCGGCAACCCTTCTGAGTGGGGCAACTCACCTTTCTGTGTAAAGAGTCCAAGTGGCCCAGGTAGGAGGTGGAAGCAGCTGTCCGGAAGGCCTGTGGGATCCCTGTGTCTGCCTCTTGGCTTCAGGTAACCAGCTGGGCTTTGATAGGAATGATCTGAATGGAGACAGAAAACAGTAGAAACTAACACTCCCCGTCCAGCTCTGTTTATGTGACGCATTTGGTTCTTCCCTTGACTCTTAACTGATGATGATATTCAGACGAGGCACTGACATTATGGTAAGAAAGGGAAAAAATGTATCTGTTTGTCTGTCTATCTGTTTGGATATATATCTCCAAAAGCAGACAAATTCAAGGCTGTAAGGTAGGCTACGGTCTGCATTTGGCTTCCATAAAAACAAAATCCACGTTGAACAAAGTGATGTTTGTACACAGTGACTTTCTGGGTGGCCTGTGTGCATCTGTACATTGTGTGCCAGCCCCGAGCCCTGCTTTCCTCCGAAGATAATGAGTGGTAGCCATGTCCCACACAAACCACACATCTGGAGCCCCGAGGGCCCTCTCAAGGTAACTGATCTTACACACTGTTTACCAGACAAGTGCCTGATGCTTGGGTGTATTCTACAGCCTGGGGCCTGTAGTTCCCTGTGTTTGCCGGGAATACTGTGCTCCCCGCAGAGGTTTTACTCTACCCATCACTGCAATTCGCATGCTGCTCTGTGGCCACTTGGAGGCCTGTGCTCTGTTCCCTGTAACTGGAAATGTGCTCTGAACCCATCTGTCTTTCTTGGCTGCACCTGGCCCTTGGTACCGGCTCCCAGGGGTGTTCATAACCACTTGGGACACAAGGTGAAAGTGAGATTCCAGAGAGAAGCTTGCTTGGATCTTTGGTGACAAGCTTGGATGAGCCATGGCACCAACATGGGCCCTGCTCAGAATTGGCAGAGGAGGCTTCGGCAGCGCCACAGATGCCATGGGTCCTGCCTCCCTCTGCTGCGTCCAGCGAGTGCAAGCAAGCTGATGTGTGGTCACAGTGGCTGGATAGTGTCACGGCCCTCAGGTGTCTTTCCTTCCACCTCTTTTTTGAGATGGAGTGTTGCTCTGTTGCCAGGCTGGAGTGCAGTGGCACGATCTCTGATCACTACAACCTCTGCCTCCAGGGCTCAAGCAATTCTCCTGCCTCAGCCTCCTGAGTATCTGGGATTATAGGCATGTGCCACCAAACCCAGCTAATTTTTGTATTTTTAGTAGAGATGAGGTTTCACTATGTTGGCCAGGATGGTCTTGATCCCTTGACCTCGTGATCTGCCTGCCTTGGCCTCCCAAAGTGCTTGGAATACAGGTGTGAGCCACTGTACTTGGCCTCCTTCTACCTTTTTTAAAAGAGTCCCAAATAACTCACTTGAAGGGTCTCTAAGGCAAGCAAGATTTACAAAAATGAATCCTTCCTCAGTTAACTGATCAAATGGATAAATCCAGGCCCTCTCTACTTTCTTTCCCTGGCTAGAGTGGGGAGCTGGTGTTAGCTGTGGGATTCACTGCGGCGTCCTAACCCCAAAGGCAAAGAAGACAAAAATGCACCATGCAGAGCTGGGCTTAATTCCCAAGTCGCAGTCTGGCTCCCACTGCAGTAGGGGGAACATCTCTCTAGCCTGCTCACAGAGATGGAACTAGGGAATTGAGGGAAGACTTGGGGGCCAGGGGGATTTACTTGAGTCTGATTTTGCAGGTGAATAGGAAGGGAGGGCTTGGTTGAGAGTTTGGTGTCGACACATTCCTGGGAGAGGCTCATCATCACCATCAACATTTGTCGTTATTGTATTTTAAGCAATAAGATTCAGCTGGTCAGATTTTTGGGGCTGCCTTGAGGATGCTGACACATTTTCTGTGCTGTGATTGTTCTGAAGGCAGAGTAGCTCTCACTGCTGTGAGAAGCCCAAATTAAAATCAATCCCCCACAAAAGACCACCTTTCTGAAACACACTTTCCTCTAGAAATCAGCCCCCCTTTCTCCCAAGTTTCTTACTACTTTTGGATTCCATCTCTTTGTATGTGCTAGTGTATCATGGAACGTATTTTGGGAGCTGAGGGCTCTGTTTATCTTTAAGGGGGACAGTCCCATCTGACCTCAGATTGGAGGATACTTTCTAGTGTGAAGGAGCATGAGGGAACAGGCACAGACACAGTCAGTGACAGCAGGGTCACTTTATTGCTATAGGGACTACAGAGGGACCAGGGGCTTTAGCTGTTGGCAGCGATGGTTTCCTCAATCCAGTCCACATAGTTGCAGACTTTGGTGTAGACTCCAGGCTTGTTCTTCTGGGCACAGCCATAGCCCCAGGAGACAACTCCTTGGAGTTCTCCGTTGCAGACCACAGGGCCACCAGAGTCACCCTGGGGAGAAGAGACAAGTTGTATGAAGAAAGAGATGGAGGAGGATATAGCCACATTCACTCTGAACCTTCAAAGACCCCTTTCCAGCCAGCTTGTGCTTCTCACGATGGCCCATTCTCTGTTCTTCCTAAGTACATAGCATGCACCCCCAAGGGATCCTTCCTCACTTCTTCATAGGGGCACTGCAGGGAGCCTCCTCAGCCCCACCACCTTGGGAGTTCAAATCTCCTTCCTGGGTGGGGCCTGGGTATTGGTGGGAACCTCGGCATGGGAAGGGGTCAAATCACCTGGCAGGAATCCTTGCCTCCCTCGAGGAAGCCCACGCAGATCATGTTTTCGGTAATCTGTCCGGGGTAGGAGGCTTCACACTGAGCCTGGCTCAGCACAGGAGCGTCCAGGCACTGCAGTACGTCTGGGTAGTCGGCTGTGAAGACCAGGAAGAGATTGAGGAAAGCAGAAATGTGGGTCAGGCCAGAGAAGGAGACAGGAATCTAGGATGGAACCCTGAGGGCTGTCCCTGGGGAGGACTCCGAAAACGTAAGTCCCGGCAAGAGACTCTGGCTTTTATTTCCCAGATTCATTGTTGAACCCCTCCCAAGAGGTGATCATAGCAAGTTCTCTATTTGTCCTGTCTTTTGATTTTAGGAGCCAAGTCTTTGAGACCTTGCATCTCTCTGGTACCCAGTGCAAAGCCTGTGTGTAATGAGCACTAGCGATGTGTCTGAATCCCAGAGGCAAAAGGATTCGAGTTAAGAGGCACGCTTGGTTCTAGAAAGTGTGAGGATGGAGGGAAGTAGAAGGACAAAGAGTCCCACTCACCTCCAGAGCTCGCAGTGTTGCCCCAGCCCGAGATGAGGCACTGGGTGCCAGTGGCTGCACAGGCGTTGGGCAGAGAGATGGTGGACACTCGGGAATTGATGACAGCAGGCGAGGAGAGCTTGATCAGCATGATATCATTGTCCAGTTTCCAGCTGTTGTATTTGGGGTGGCGGATGACCTTGGCCGAGTTGATGAACTGCTCATTCCCCTCCTGGACTTCAATGTTGTGCTCTCCCAGTCTCACTTGGATGCGGCTGATGGGCAGGGCAGGCATGGTGAAGACCCTCTCCCACTGCCAGGGCACTCACCCCACCTTCCCCAGGGTCCTCAAGCTCCCTGCTTATGGAAAGCTCTGGAGGCAGGGGGTGGGGTGTGTGGCCATATCACATGCGTAGTAGAGGGATGTGGGTCAGTGCAGGTGTGAGACCCAAGATCTTTCTGCTTCAGAGGTTGGTGGTGATGGAGTAGGGAGGAGGCAAAGGGATCTCACCAGATGCTGCTTCTCAACCCGCCTTCCTAGCCTCTTCCCCACAACCCCCACAGGCACTAGCACTGTGGGCACCAGGAGCTCCTTGAAGTTTTCCCAGCATTCTTCACCCCATGCCTTTGCTAAGTGTGCACAGCACCTGTTCCTCCCTCCCTCCCTTCTCGGTCTGGTGAGCACCACTCTTTTGTGTAATCTAATCCAGTGGTAGCTGCAGCATCAGCATCTTTTGGGAAGTTGTTTAGAAATGTCAATTCTTGGTCCTTACCCACACCTGCTGATCAGAACCTTGGAGATGGGACCCAGTGATTTGTGCTTTAACAAGCCTGCAGGTGGTTTTGATGCCTACTCAGGTTTGAGAGTCCTTGGGGCAGGCAGTGGGCCTCAGCTCTCTCTCTACACTTTACAGTTACCAGAGGTAAAATGTTAAACACTCACTGATATTCGCATCCTCTTCCTGAAAATTGAGTTAATTGCCCTGAGATAGGACACAGGCATCAGTATTTTAAAAAATACTTAGGTGGCTTTAATGTGTGGCTAACCAGCAAAAGGTACTTGCCTGCTTTTCTTATAGCTCTTACCACCCCAAGATCATCCCTGCCTGTTTTTATGCCCGTAGCCCTCGCTGTTTCATGAATTTGCCTGGGTGTGAGAGGTTCCTGTCTTGTGTTCACTCTCTGCTCAGGAGAGTCAGCTGCTGTCAAGTTTCCTTCTCCACCACCTCCCATCCATCTTACCCAACCTCAGTGCTCCCCTGGGCTGAACCCAAGCTCTCCCAGGGGGCCTGGCTGGGAGTTTTGCAGTCAGGGGCCCCACACTTACGACTTGTAGCAGTGAGCTGCTGACACCACCCACTGATCGCCGATGAGGGAGCCACCGCAGAAGTGGTAGCCAGAGTTCAGGGACACCTGGTAGGGGACAGAATTCTCCTCGCAGGTGTAGCCCCCAACGATCTTGTCATCGTCGTCAAAGGGGAAAGCAACTGGAGTGAAGACGGGAAGGGAGAAACCGAGTCAGTAGCATGTTAGGGTGGCACTCCCAGCCTGTGGTTGCTTCCAGCTAATTAGAAATCCTTAACGAGCACAGTGAGGCTAGGCAGGGGAGGAAGAACTGCTACCCCCTCATGAGCATCATGGGATGTGGCTCCCAAGTCTCTGTGTCTTCAGGGTACATAGCTAGGTACCCTGCGGGGGCTCAGATCTCTCCTGGGGTCACCAGGCTGAGGACACAAGGAATGTCCTCACAGTGCTTCCGGTGGGATAGGAGTTAGGATGTGGCTATCTCACCTACTGAGTGCTTCTCTCTCTTATTCATCACCTGTGTACTCCCCCTGGCTATCTGAGCCCCAGATTGTCAGGATATTTTGGCCAAGCTAGGAAACCCCCTGGTTGCGTAGACCTGGCCATGACCAGCTTCCCCCACAGCTCAGATCTCTGCAGTGGAGTCAGAGTTGAGGGCAGCCCCCAGGCTCACTTCAGCAGAACAAAGGTAGACCTTGTTATGGGCCAATAGAACAGCAATTCTTAACCTTGGCTGCATGCCTGGAAATGTTAAAAATCACCTGGGAAGCTTAAAAGCCCAGGACACAGGCTGCACCCCAGATAAATGAAGTTAGAATTTCTAGAGTTGAGTCTCTGGCATGAGTAATTTTCAACCTCCCCAGGTGCATTCAAGGTTAAGAGTAGCTATAGAGGTGCTATTCTGGTGCTGTGGAAGCCAAGCCTGAAGCCTGCTGCTTCATTTTGTTGGCCATCCCCACCTGGTCTCCCTTCCCAGCTTCTCCAATCACATCTCGGATATGGATGAACGGCAGCGTGGGAGTAAAATCAGGGAGAAGATGAAACAGGTGAGGCTTAAAGAGAGTCCAGGGTGGATGAGAAGGAGAGATGCCAGATGGAGGAAATAGGATATCAGAGCATAGGCAAAATAGGAGAGGTGGCAAGAATGGTAGGACACGTGTCTGCCAGGAAAGGGGGTGGGTGGGGCCTGAGGCAGGGCATGAAACTCACCAGCAGCTCCCACAAAGGCAAGGATCAGGAGTGGATTCATGGTGGTAGAATGTGACTGACTGGTGGTGGAGGGCTGTCTTTATACCTGCCGAGGATCGGGAGAGGAGGTGTCTGTGAGGTGAGGGTCACCGCTCCTCCCAGCACAAACACACCTGCAGCTTTCCTCTTCTCAGGGTCTTGCATCAGCTTGGCTATGTTTGGCCACTCTGTGGGTTTGTGATTCACAGGTGATAAGGAAACTTGCCTTCGGAGGGCTGAGAGGGAGACCAGCTGTTTCCTGGAAGGATGCTGGGACAGGGAAGGCAGGGGAAGCCAAGCCCCAGATCACACAGCTGGGCTTTGTTAGGGTGAGGCGATGAGAGTTAGGAGGGAGAATGGCCTGGCTGTTTAGGAATATTTTTAACTATTGGGGATTTATTTAATGTACTTTAAGGAAGGGCAAGCGCTGGTGGCAAGCTTGGCTTTTCAGTGTCCTGGAGCCCCCATGAGAGGAGCGAAGTCTTATCTAAGGCGCATTCCTGTGAATATAAAGATGCTTCTCTCCAGTCACTGTGCAGGAAGGGCAAATCCAAGGCTTTGGGGAATGAGAATTCCAACACAGAGGGATAAGAAGGGAGACACAGCATTCCATAGGATTCTGGACTTCCAGATGGCTCTCCTTCCTACAAAGGCTTAAGGATGGGAAGTGTTTCAAAGAAGGAGGGGCACAGTTTAGGTAGGAGCTTACTCAGTGCATCTGGAGGGTGGAAAACCAATGGTGCATGCCTCCCCTTCTTCAATGTGAAGACGTTTGTCTCTCTCATGTGCATCCTGTCATGGGTTCTCTTTATGCAGCCTCACGGTTGCCCTGGCAACCTGCACACGGGGTGATGCAAACTGACCCACCTGCTCAGGGCTGACAGCCTGAACCCGAATGACATGCCCCAAATCAAATGTCAGAGTTTGGAACATGGTAAATCTGGGTTACGATCTGATTTGAGAATCAGCAGGATGTAGAGATTTTAGCACATGGTAAACGAGTCACATATTGAGTTCAATAACAAAGACGTGGAAGGGTGGGTCTAGAATTTTCCATTTTAGATGCAGTGAGATTATGCTGGGCTCAGTATAAAGCACATCTTCCCAGAGAATATACTGATTTTGGCCCTACCAGTCAAATAATTGTGTGATTGACTGAGGCACATCCTGGCAGAGCAGTGTGGAGATGTGTATTCTGTCTGCACTCGAGTCTAATGATGTAAGAAAAGGAGGAGCTTCCTTATGAGGGTGCTTTCCCTCCTCAGCAACTCTGAGCTTAGGTTGGTGATGGACAGGAGTGAGCAAAGTTCATGATTGAATTTTTTGAAAGGTAAAAGAAGCAGGGGTATTCTGGAGATGGTGAACAAAGTGAGAAAAGCTCAGAAACTTGGTGGTGAAATTAGACATGGCCAGGGGGCTAAAGGGAGGAAGTAAATGGAAACCAGAGGGAATTGAGAAAATGCCAAAGTGGGGCCCATGGAGTTGGGAGGACACACACTTCAGGTTCAGCTCCTGGCATGACCGCCGAGCCAGGAGACCTACTGCTCAGAGACCCCCTCTACACCCAGTACCCCTCTAATCACTAATGGGCTCATACCCAACTCTGCTATACTTAGATGGTGCATGATGCCTGACAGCTTTATAAGAGTTTTCACATAAGCAACAGTGGTACATTGCTTTTTATTTATGCTGAGTTTCACAGTTTAACTTCCCACAAACATGCTAATTATGATTTGTGCAGAGCAAAATTATTTCTATTTATAGAGGAAGAGACTGAGATTCAGAAGGGTTCTGTCTCGCCCAAGAACACAGATCTTGGCAGAGCTGACCATAGGCCAACAGAAGCTATGGAGAGTGTTGTGAAGTGTGAGAACTGCTGTAAGTGAAATCGAAAAGGAGGTTTATTGAGGATCAAGGCAGAGGTCTCCAGAGGACAAACTGTACATTTTTTCTTTCTTTTTCTTTCTTTTTTTTTTTTTTGGAGACAGAGTCTTGCTTTGATGCCAGGCACCAGGCTAGAATGCAGTGGCACGATCTTGGCTCACTGCAACCTCCACCTCCCAGATTCAAGCAATTCTCCTGCCTCAGCCTCCCTGGTAGCTGGGACTACAGGCGCACACCACCACGCCCAGCTAATTTTTTTGTATTTTTAGTAGAGATGGCATTTCACCATGTTGGCCAGGATGGTCTCGATCTCTTAACCTCGTGATCTGCCCACCTCGGCCTCCCAAAGTGCTGGGATTACAGGCTTGAGCCCCCGTGCCTGGCCCAAACTGTACATTTGATTCCTTCCTGGTGCTTTTCTTCCTGGCAGGAATGGATGATTGAATTAACCTTTCTCCTGGCACCTTGTCTCAGAGCCTCACCTTGCCACAGTTCCAGACCCCATCAGGCCGTGACTGCCATGTAGATGCCACACCTCTGCTTGTGGATAACTGGCCAAGCCTGAGGTAGCTAGGTCTTGGAGCATTGTTAATAGAGGTTTTTTTCTGCGTTGTCCCAATACATGTTGTTTTGTTTTGTCCCCTTGTCATAGGGTCTTTACAGAGCTCCTGCCTTAGGGGATAAGGAGAGACTCTTGCTCTGGTAACTCTAGATACCAGTGTGCACTGGACAGGGAGGTGATCCTTGGTAGAAGATGGAAAACTGCTTTGGAAAAGGGTTTTTTCTTTTTTAAATGAAGTCTCACTCTGTTGCCCAGGCTGGAGTGCAGTAGCCTGATCTTGGCTCACTGCAACCTCCACCTCCCAGATTCAAGCAATTCTTCTGCCTCAGCCTCCCTGTAGCTGGGACTACAGGCGCACATCACCATGCCCAGCTAATTTTTTTGTATTTTTAGTAGAGATGGGGTTTCACCATATTGGTCAGGCTGGTCTTGAACTCCTGACCTCGTGATCCTCCTGCCTTGGCCTCCCAAAGTGCTGGGATTATAGGCGTGAGCCACTGCGCCCAGCTGGAAAAGAGGATTTTTGGATCAGTGCTTGTGGCTTTGACCCTCTGTCTGAAGGGAAACACTCAAGAATATGAGAATTTTCTGTATATAGAGCTTGAAGACTAGCCTTCTCCAGTATTTTACACTCTTCCTTTAACTATCGCAGTAGTCTGAGGTCAACTTTCTTCAAAAAGGAATGACCTTACAGACAAAGAAAATAGCTACAGGTAGAGACTGTTACCGTATATTTTAGACTCAGAGTATAGGATAAGTTCAGATCCAGCTGCCCAATCTCAATTTGGAGGACATGCCATTCTGGGTGCTGTTCATTCTGAACTATAGATTTGTTGGTCTCCTTCCCCAAGACATCTTTCTGGCTTATATTTAGTGCAGAGCATACAAACCACTGTTCTTCAATTATGATAACAGTGAATCATTTCTGTGTGCTTACTATATATAACTTACTATACACCATATAACTTACTATATAGCTTGTAACTCATGTAAGTTAAGAGTTTTTTTTCATTTTACCATCGCAATCACCTATGAGATTGTCCATTTTACAGATGATCAAATGAGCTTTCTGGAGCTGAAGTGACTTGCTCAAGGCCACACAGCCAGGAGGTTGTAAAGATGGGATGTAAGTATGGTAGTCAGAGTCTAGGGCATACTTGCTCGGCCATAGGGCATTCTGCTTCGCCTCCTTTGAGTTGATCACTGGTGCAGCCTCACTGAGGAGGTAGGCAGCAGACATTGTTCTCTCCTTTTTACAGATGAGCAATCTAAAGTTCAGAGGTCAAGGGACTTCTCCAGGGTCACTTGGCTAAGGAAAGCAGAGATCATACTAGAACCTTCCCTATTCAAAGTTCATTCCCCTTCATTTTGCTACATAGTTGAGTCTTTCAGACCTCCTAGTAGTCTGAAAAGTGTTAGATTCCAAATTACTTTTTTAAAAAAATGCTTCCTTCTCCAAATCCCACCAGATCTTTTTCCTAAACTGTTATTCATCTCCTCCTTGGGTTCTGGTATTCTTTATCATTCTCTAACTGGATTGTCAGATTCTAGGCTGTCTTCCCTGCGAACTTCCAGCTCCTGTCCTCATCCATTATATATATTTTTAAGCTACTTAGAAATTTCCCCCATGGCACAATTTCTCTTTATCCAATAAAGAATTGTTTTCATTACTATCTCATCCCAGGAATCACTGAATCTGGAGTGTGAAAGGAGTGCTCTGTGTGATTCAGAAAAGCCTGACTTGTAAGATGGAGGCACAGAGAATGAGTGGGTCAAGGCTGATCAGCTAAAGGGAGAAGCGCAGTCCTCCGCGCCTGCCTCCCGCCCCTTCTCTTTCCTGCCCCCCACCCCTCCTCCTGTCTGCCCAGCTGCTCCTCAACTTGAATCCATGGAATACATGCAAGTTTTATGCCCAGAGGAAAGTTTCTAGTTCTGTTTATTCTTCAGGCTTCCGTATATCAGTAAATGGGGAAGCCTCTAGCACTTGAGACTAAACCTAAATTATTTTAAGGATAGATTGATTGCTGTAACATAATGGTGAGTCTTTCTGTTCACATTTCAGCTACTCCTTGACCATTCTCCCTTGTTTGGCCTATTAGAGCTGCTTAAGTGAGTCCAGGGTCTCTTAGGAAGCAGAAGAAAGCCAGGACAGAGTGCAGGAGAAACACACACGTAGGCTCTTATTATTGTAACATCTAGGATCTGTTTCATGATACTCAGAGTTTAATATATGATGTGTGTATTTATTTTTCTAAATTGGACTAGCTCTAGTTTGAGGCCCACAAGCTAGGTTTGGTGATAAATCCAGTCCATTGGGTTCCTTCTACTCATTTAGCTTATAAAAAGTCTAAACTGTGTCATCCATTTGGAACGCAGCCAGCGGGTCAGTCATTTCCTCAAGATCATCTTGCCCAGGAGGACCTTCAAAAGGCTCCCAAGGCTCAGAACTGAGTGCTCCATCCACACAGGCACCAACACAATTCCAGTGGAGAACCTTCCACCCCAGAGCCGCTGTGTTTGAGCAGGTTCTGCACTTTTCCTCTCTCTAGAACCTGTACCATCTGTTCCATTTCCCAGTCTTGAGTAAGGCAGCAGAGGGGGTTGGCACATGTAGTATGTGCCTTTCTATTCAAATATAAAGCTTGTTATCTACAGCCCTCCTTCAGTGCTGTAAAACGCTGGAACTTATTCCTCCTATCTAGCTGTAATTTTGTGTCCCTTAATCTTTTCTTATCCTTCCTCCCAACTAAAGCATACATTTAAAACAAGAATAAGAAATACAAAGTTTGAAGTGCTCATTCCTTTCCTGTTAGAATAATCTAGTTAATTTTTTATGGGCTTAGATTATCTAAACTCAAATGCCTTTGTAGAGTTTTCCTCCAGGGAAATCCACTGCAGCTGTATAAATTTTCCTCTTTTTTTTTCATATTTATTGATGCACAAATATTGACTGAGTTCTTGCAGTGATATTCCAGGAGTTGTTCCAGGCTATTTGGAAGCAGCAATGAAGAAGATGGAAAAGGTTCTTGTTTTCAGGGCATTTGCGTGTGCATGTGGGTGCATTTGTGCACGTGTGAGGAGGTATAGAAATGGGATGCACATACACTGTTTTCAGTAAATGATGAGTACATACTACTAAAATAGGATAAAGTGATAATATAATATAGGATGACTGCTGAAGTGCTGTTATGTAGGGTGATCAGGAAGGGTCTCTTTGGGGAGTTGGCCTTGTTAACACCTGAGTAAAAAGGAACCAGCCATTTGCAGGTAGAGTTAGGAGGGCTTTCATAACTTCCTTCTGAGTCTATAACAGAAATAATTCAACACACACAGCCAATTGCCATTTAAAATTACATAACCCTGTCATCTAGCCTATGGATATATACCTTGTCATGGGTTTTGATTGTATGAAGGATGGTCATCAGTATATTGACCTATTTTTATTAAAGTTAATGTAAAATATTTTTGACATGAAATGGCATTCGTGAAATATTGTTGGGTTAAGGGAATAAATTCTAAAACTATGTATTGTATGATCTAATTTTATTAATTGAGTGATTTTGACTTTTTTATTTTGATAATATGCATATTTTATGATAATATGCATATTTTATAATAATATGAATTTTTATGTAATTAAAATAGCTAAAAGAAAAGCAATTGTAATAATAAAATTTTCTGAGAAAGGGCCATACTTATTCTTGAGGAAGGAATTGATAATGGTAAAATATGTTTTTACAGTGAGAAATACATTTAGGTAGGAACTACATTATTTGCTTATTTTATATCTGTGCTTTTTATACAGATAATTGTATCGCTTTCTTATTTTTAAAAAAACCCCTTCATTAAAAAGCTTGCTATTATTCTTATTTTCTAGAGAAATTAAGGCGTAGAGAAATTGTGTAACTTGTTAAGGTTACACCTGGAGTTAAAGCAGAAGAACCAAGTTTTAAACTTAGGTTTCTCTCTTGACAAAGTTCAAGTTCCTAGCCACAGTGCTTTACTGCTGTTAAAGAGACTATTTTGTAATATGGGAAGGTGCTTCATAATCCAAGGCTTCACTGCAGGTAAATTTCTCAACTTCATATGGTAATGGGAGCATGAGGCAGGAAGGTAAGCTAGCACCGCACCCATGACATAAAACGGGTGTACGTATACATTCCTGTGACCTGGAGAATTAGTGCACATGGAAACTGGAGAAGGCCCATGGGACCTTACATGAACAAGGAACTAGATAGGAATCACTCCTTTATAAAGCTAGGGACACAAAGAGCTACACCGTTAGTGAGAGGACGAGCTAGAAAACTAATCATAGAAGCAGTTAACAAAGTCTGATCTTGGCTTTGGGTGAAGGATTTAAAAAAATTTTCTCTGAATATTCATGGTCACTGAACAGTCAGCCAATTGGGGTTTGAGACAGACATTCTATGACCAAGAAGATGTGTATTGAGAATTACAAAATAAAATAATATTAGGTCTGTAGCACCCCAATTTCTTGACAGAGGTGAGCATGAATATTTCCTAGAAAACCCACTTTCACTCCAGTATTTAAAGAATTCTGAAAGATAAATTTATATCAAATTACATAATGCACAAGGAAATAAACCACCCTGAATGAGAGCCAGCAGACTACTGAAAACCAGATGTAAAAAGGCATCAAATGCTGGCATTGTCAGATAAAAATTCCCAATAGATGCTTAATATACTTATAAAAAGAAAATAATTTTAAAATACACAAGGAACAAGATGAATGGCCACTCATATTTGTAAATGACCCAAATGGATTTTCTAGAGATAAAAATTCTATACTTTAGATGAACAAAGTCAGTTGAAAAGTCAAATTAGAGGCTTATTGGAATTGAGGTGTGAATTAGTAAACTAAACAGCAGTTTTAAAGAAATTGCCCAGATTGCATCACAGAGAAGTAAAAAGAAGAAAAATATGACTGAATAGGGAAAGAGACTAGATGATAGTATGAAAGTGAACACGAGCTATAGCTATACCTCTGGCCATCTCTTCAACAAAATGTGGACAACAATCAGGTATACTAATTTAAGGTTTGGCCCTGAGAGGATTTCCCTTCAGTATTATCTTTCGGAACCATATTTGTGTTAGACTATAATGATCCTTCCAGGGTAACATGAAGACCCATCTAAAAAATGAGCCCATGTTTCTCAATTGAAAATATGGAATTTCCATAAAACCTTGGGTGTGGTTTGAAGATGAGGAGAAAAGTATGAATGAGTACCAAGAGATTCTGAGATGTGCTCTTGAAGTTGAATTGTGCCTTCTTCCAGCTGTGCTTAATTATGGTCTTAATGATATACTTTCCATTTATTAGCAGAGAGAATTCTCTGGGCACAGCCAACTTTACAATTTTGCAGATCAGATAATACCTTGTTCTGAATGCCATTATGAGGCATTCATTACAGAGCCAGTAGCAACTTTTCAAAAGAATGGTCGTTGGCAGGTAAGAGTGTGGCTTTACACCAAAGCTCTGCACCTGTCTGCTGGGCAGTTTGCCTGGTGGCCTTGGACCAACTCAGTTCTCCCCCATTTATTGCTTGTAGTTCTCAAGAATAACTGTAGAATGTGCTGGGAATGTAACATCCTGAGATAAGGAGGTACAGAGCCTGGGCTCTGTTCCAGTCCCTCCTAGAAATAGGATGTCCTTCAATGCTTTGGCAAACATGTCAAGTTGCTCTAGGATATAAAACCCAGGGTGGCTGCTCTCTGGGTCCCTCAGTGGCAGTGCAGGTAGGGAAGGCACAGTTAAGATTTCATCCACCCTGGCAGCTTTCCTGAGCCCAGTGGGACTGGCTTTCCCTAAATCTTTGGCATCTGTTTTCCCTTGTTGCCTATATGTAGGTAATAAGCACTCTATGTAGTTTGTGTGTGAGAGCATTCTTTCTCTCTGGAATCTGGAAAGCAACAAAAGTACAGCCCAAGATGCAATGGTCTGAAGTTGCAAATCAAGGCATAGTGAACTTATTCCACACTGCCTTGTGGTTCTCTTACTGAGGAATGCCAGGAGCTCCATAGAGCATCCCTATCTATCATAGGCTCTTTAAAAACAACTGGGTCTGCTTAGTCTATGGCCCAAGTAGCAGGAAGCTTTCATCATGGGCTTGTTCTGCCACAAAACCCTCTCTTGCACTGGCCCCGGCTTTGCAAATTACATGCTAAAAGGAATAGAGTAGCACAATCAAATGCAGCATATCCAAAGTTCAATTCAAAGTCCAAAGAGGACTAAGCATTGCACCTCTTCCTTTGTGGTAGATGACCTAAGGCACGGCAGCTTACTTCTCACATTAGAGGAGATATTTCAACATGCCCCAAACCTGCGGACCACTCCCAAACTCACCATTATAGAAGGTTCCTGAACTTTGAAGATTTTATATTGACTTGGGATGCATGTGTCATATCAAGGCATCTAGAGGACTTTATAATTCCTATTCACTGAGAACAACCAGATGTCATCAATGTAATGTACCAGCTTTGTTTCAAGATGACTAAAGTTCTTCCAAAATATATTGTGATCAAACACCAACTAAATAGAGCATGGAGATAAAACAGTTAAAGGCTGCCATTTGAAGAAAACTGTATCTGATTGTTTTTGTTGGGTATTTCTGAGCATTCATCTGGAAGAAATTTTACCCTCAACTTTCCAGGAGCCACTCTTCCTGCCTGTGGACAGAACTCCCCAGCTAGTCCTAGAGATGCTCTTCTTATCCCCAGTCTACCCATTCATACCCATGCTCACCTGCAAGCACAGAAACAGCTGTGTCTGCCCAGGAGCTGTGGTTTCTTCCCTCCGTTTCATCTTGGCAGGGCCCTCAGGCTCATGTGAGGGGAGCTGGGTAGGAGGGAGCTAAGGTTCTTGCTCAGATCTTTGATCTGTGCCCAGCACTGTGTCTCCAGCACTGCAGAAGTATATGCCGCTGTCTTCGGGACTCATGTTGCTCACATTCAGAGTTGAGAATGTTAGACTTGGGCGGCTAATGGGAAACTTGTCTTCAGCAAATCCTTTCTCATATGTGGCCCCAGAGCCCTGATTTGCAGTTGCAATCAGTGTCATGCTCTGTCTGGGGAGCTGACGGTACCAGAACATCAAGTTGACTTGGCTATCGACATGACACTGGATTGTCATGGAGGTTCCATGTTGACAGATGCCCCTGCTTGGCTTTTGAGAGACGACAGCACCAAACACAGAACCTAGTTCCAGAGAGGTATTCATGGGAGCCGACAAGCTTGGGGTTAGACGTCTCCCTAGGCAGGAAGGTCTCCTTTATCTCTTCAGTACCACCTCAGCTCCCAAAGGACCCCAGGGCACTGCCTCCTTTTTGTTGTGCCAACAATTACTCTGTTTTGGTCCTTTAATCAAGCATATCCCTTTCACCCTCTGTCTGGTGGCTTCAGACTCTCTAGAGAGAAAGTCTTTCCTCCCCTCCACCCAGTGTTACCATTAATCCCAGACTCCTCACAAGACAAGGCTCATACCTTGTCCCAGGAGAAGGAGTAGGAGAGTCAGCATCTTAAAGTGATGGCCTCTTCCCTGAGAAAAGGCACTAAGAAGACAAACTCAAGTTGATCTTTCTTTCCCGCAACGTATCTCCTTCCTGCTCTGTTCTCCTCCTCTAACAGGTGGTTGAGTTTCTGCAGGGTATGAAAAAATCAGTTCCCCCTAGTGGAACTGTGTGGTTCTTCACTTAGGATGAGTCTTCATGCACAAGCATCGCAGCAGGCACTGGCCACTCTCCACGGTTCTCCCACCCCTTGTCCATCCGTCATTACTGAACACCGGTCTGTGCTACTGTCTGGGTATAGAGCAAAGAGTGGGGTGCAGAATTGACTTCAAAGAACTAAAGGTAACATTTTAGAATATAAGGGAACCTCATAACAGTATCTTAACTGTTTGCGGGGTCTTCATGGTTGTCCCAAACTGAACTCATTCATTTTCCAACACATACACACACCAATAAACAGGCTCTTATTCCTCAGTTCCCCTCTGCCAACAAGTGGCATCCCCACTCTTCTTCCACTTTAGGCTCAAAAATTCCATAAACCTCTTTTTCACTCACCTACCTTGTCGATTCACACATTAAATGCATTGTCTCTTATATCTCTTTCCTTGTTTCAGTTATCACAGTCATAACTATTTTATTGGTGTTGTTTAACTCCTGGACACTTGCAATATGGTTTTTAAAAATTTCAACTTTTATTTTAGATACAAGGGTATATATGCAGGTTTGTTACATGGGCATATTGCACACAGGTAGTGAGCCAATGAAAGCAACAAGCCCAAGAGGAAAGAGTTAAATCTTTAATTATCTCCTTCAATAGTGTAAGCAAGAGTCTAAAGGTAGAGAAATGACTGACTCCCCCTTGTTCCATTTTTCCCTATGGAAATAGCACTGGTCAAGGGTTAGTTGGATTAGTACAGTCATGGGGTTGTCTCACTGTTGGGGGGCCTTGCAAGGTGAAAGTAAAAACTCAGTGGATACTGAGAGTGGAGAAAACTGTCTTTAAGCTTCTCTCTTCCTCTCCTATTAGGAGGCCTTGACAGAGGTACCTAAAGAAGACCTCTGCATAGGCCTTGAATAAAGAGACCTAAGAATGAAGGATCCTGAGCTGGGAATATAAAGATTCATGAGGGTGTGACCAACTGGGGGTCCTTGACTGCAACTCCTTTCAAAGACTGCAGTGTATTAGCTGTGCACCAAGTCTGGAGTGGGCAGGACAGCCTCCCATACCCTGTAAGCCTACCAGCTAAAGCCTTTGTAATTAATTACCTGTGGCCTGAAACATCATACATAGGCTTCTAACCAAGAGTGGGACCTCTCATAAATTCTTTGTGTGTTCATATACCTTCTAGATTAGCTTTTCAGTTTCTTTGAAAAAAACAATAACAGTTGGGATAACAATTGAGATTTTAATGACTGTAGATAAAATTTAGAGAGTACTCATTTTAATATTTTAGTCTTTTTTAAAATTCTTACTTTTATTTTAGATGCAGGGGGTACATATGAAGGTTTGTTACATGGGTATATTGCATCCAGGTAGCAAACATAGTACCCAAAATGTAGTTTCAACCCATGTCAACCTCCCTTTCTCTGCCCTTATGTAGCACTCAGTGTCAATTGTTCCCATGTTTATGTTCATGTGTGCTCAATGTTCAGTTCTCACAAGTGAGAACATGTAATATTTGGTTTTCTTTTTCTGCATTAATTTACTTAGGACTATGGCCTTCAGCTTCATGTTGCTGCAAACAACTTGATTTCATTCTTTTTTAGGGCTGTGTAGTATTCCATAGTGTATATGTTTCTTCATCCAATCTGTCATTGATGGGCACCTTGGTTGATTCCATGTCTTTGCTATTGTGAATAGGATGGTGATGCACATATGAGTGCATGTGTCTTTTGGTATAATGATCTAGTTACCTTTGGTTATATAACCAATAATGGGACTGCTAGGTGGGATGGTAGCTCTGTTTTAAATTATTTGAGAAATCTCCCAACTGCTTTCCTCAGTGCCTGAACTGATTTACATGTCCACCAACAGTGTATAAGCCTTCCCTTTTCTCTGCAGCCTCATCAGCATCTGTTGTTTTTTGACTTTTTAATAATCCCAGTCTGACTGGTATGAGAATGGTATTATTAAAATGAGATATATGATATCTCATTGTGGTTTTGATTTGAATTTCTCTGATGATTGGTGATAAGCATTTTTTCATGTTTGTTAGCTTCTGTGTTCTTTTGAGAAGTGTCAGTTCATGTCTGTATTCAGCCATTGTTGCATTGCTATAAAGAAATACACAAGACTGGGTAATTAATAAAGAAAAGAGGTTTAACTGGCTCATGGTTCTGTAGGCTCCATAGGAAGCATAATGCTGGCATCTGCTCCTGGAGAAGCCTTAGGAAACTTACAATCATGGCAGAAGGCAATGCAGCAGCAGGCATGTCACATGGCCAGAGCAGGAGCAAGAGCAAAAGGTAGGGGGAGGGGTGCCACATACTTTAACACAATCATATCTCCTGAGAATTCACTCAGTATCTCAAGGACAGAACTTCCCCCCATGATCCAGTCACCTTCCACCAGGCCCTACCTCTAATACTGGGGATTACAATTCAACTTGAGATTTGGGGAGGGACAAAAGCCAAACTACATTGATGTCCTTTGCCCATTTTTGATGTTTTTTTTTGGTTGTTGTTGTTTCTTCTTGTTGAGTTGTTGAAGCTCCTTATACCAGAATGTATTAGACCTTTGTCAGATGCATAGTTTGCAAATATTTTCTCCCATCCTGTAGGTTGTCTGTTTACTTGATAGTTTCTTTTGCTATATAGAACCTTTTTAGTTAATTAGATCCCACCTGTCTATTTTTTGTTTTTGTGGCTATTGCTTTTGGGGACCTGGCCAAAAATTAATTGCCAAGGCTGATGTGGACAGGGATATTTCCTAGGTTTTCTTCTAGGATTTTATAGTTTGAAGTCTTACATTTAAATATTTAATCCATCTTGAGTTAATTTTTGTATAAGAAAAAAAGTACGAGTCTAGTTTGATTCTTCTGTATATGGCTATCCAGCTATACTAGCACTATTTATTGAACAGAGTCCTTTACCCATTGGTTTTGTCAGCCTTGTAAAAAATTAGATGGTTGTAGGTAGTTGTGGCTTTATTTCTGAGTTTTCTATTCAGTTCATTCTGTTTCATTAGTCTATGTGTTTGCTTTTGTACCAGTACCATGCTGTTTTGGTTACTGTAGCCTTATAGTATAGTTTGAAGTTGTGTAGTGTGATGCCTGTAGCTTTGTTCTTTTTGCCTAGGATTGCTTTGGCTATTTTGGTTCTCTTTTGGTTCCATATGAATTTTAGAATAGTTTTTTTTTTCTTAATCCTGTGAAAAAATGACACTGGTAGTTTGATAGGAATAATGTTGAATCTATAAATTGCTTGGGGCCGTATGGTCATTTTAATGATACTGATCCTTCCAATCAATGAGGATGGAATATTTTTCTGTTTATTTGTGTGGTCTCTGATTTCTTTCAGCAGTGTTTTGTAGTTCTCCATGTAGAGATTTTTCACCTCTTTGGTTAGTTGTCTTCCTAGGTATTTCATTTTGTGTGTGTGCCCATTGTAAATTATTGATTTGACTTTCAGTCTGGGCATTATTAGTGAATAGAAATACTACCAATTTTGTACATTGATTTTTGTATCCTGGAACCTTGCTAAAATTGTTTCTTTGTTCCCATAGCCTTTTGGCAGAGTCTTTAGTATGGATTTTTGCATCTCAATTTCATTAAGTTCTTCTCTAATTTTAGTTGTTTCTTTTCTTCTGCTAGTTTTGGGGTTGGTTTGTTCTTTTTTTTTCCTTCTAATTCCTTTAGGTACAAGATTATATTGTTAATTTTTAATCTTTCTAACTTCTTGATGAAGGTATTTAGGGGTATAAACTTTTCTCCTAACATTGCATTAGCTGCATCCCAGAGATTTTGGTCAGTTGTGTCTCTGTTTTCATTAATTCCAAAGAATTTCTACATTTCTACCTTAATTTCAAAGTTCACCCAGGAGTTATCTATGAGTAACTTATTTAGTTTCTATGTATTTGTGTAGCTTTGCAAGATCTTTTTATATTGGTTTCTATTTTTCTTGCAGTATGGTCTGAGGGGGTGCTTGAGATTATTTCAAATTTTTTTTTATTTTATTAAAACTTGCTTTATGACTGAATGTATGGTTAATCTTAGAATATGTTCTGTGTGCAAGTAAGGACAATATATATTCTGTGGTTGTTGGGTGGAGTGTTCTGTATTTGTCTATTAATTTCAATTGGTCAAGTGTTGAGTTTAAGTCCAGCATTTCCTTGTTAGTTTCCTGCCTCAGTAATCTGTCTAACACTGTCAGTGGGGTGTTGAAGTTTCCCACTACTATTGTTTGGTTGTCTAAATCTTTTCATAGGCCAAGAAGAGCTTATTTTATGGATATGGGTGCTCCCATGTTGGGTGCATATATATTTAGGATTGTTAGATCTTCTTACTGGATTGTACTATTTATTATTATAGTAATGCTCTTCATTGTTTAAAGTCTGTTTTATCTGATGTAAGAATAGCAAATTCTGTGCTTTTTTTCATTTGCATGGTAGATATTTCTCCCTCCCTTTATTTTGAGCACGTGGGTGTTGTTACATGTGAGATGGGTCTCATGAAGGCAATGATGGTTGGGCCTTGTGTTTTTATCCAGTTTGCCACCCTGTGTCTTTTAAGCAGGTATTTAGCCCATTTATATTCAAGATTATAAATAGATTGATATGTGTTATTTTGATCTCATACCTGTGTTCTTAGCTGGTGTTATGTAGACTTGATAGCATAGTTGTTTTATAGTGCCTGCGGGCTATGGCTTAAGTGTTTTATGGCAGCAGGTTCTTTAGATTCCGTATTTAGACTCCCTTAAGGACTTCTTGTAAGGATGATCTACTTAAAAAAAAATCCCTCAGCATTTGCTTGTCTAAGAAGTATTTTAATTCTCCTTTATTTATGAAACTTAGTTTGGCAGGATATAACATTTTTAGTTGAATTTG